GACTCAAACCTAGTGCAAGAAAATCCCTCTAACCTAGAGCAAGGTAGAAAGAAAGGTCATCAAACAAGAAATCGAAAAATACAAGAAAATATCACAAGCTAAAGAGGTTTCACCAATATGAATATGCCGATTTTGACAAAAACTTCGGAGAACACAGACGTTTGCGTTCTATTGATCCCTCATTGCTTGATGCAACGTTATTAATATGAAGATTTGATAATGAAGGTGAAAGTCCTCTATATGAAATAATAATATTTGATGAAATGGGAATTAAACATTTCGAATAAAATTGAAATCGCTGTCAAATCAGTGATTTTTCCCACGACTCCAAATATTTCAGCATCCACAATCATTGGTGAATTAAATTATGATCTCTGCCTAGTATTACCAAGGAATTATTACGAAAGGTAAAGTTTCATGTGAGAAATGTGTTCCTTAAGTATATTATTGTGAATAGCTGCGAGATCTATGAAGCAATTGCATAAAAATGCTTGACTTGCTTAGGGATAGGAAATTTATTTTGAAGTAGTTCCGCAGAAAATTGAGACAATCAAGTAAGAGGCTGAAGATTCACTCCATCAAAATTAAATCCTCGTAAAATTCTTCTACCGAGCTCCTAAGAGCTCTATACGGATTGCAAGGTGAAACAAGTTTCTTCAGTGGTTACTCCTTTGAGCTTTACATTACGCCCAAACGGACTTTTTTTTTAACGTCTTGTGTGTTACCTTTATTTATTAAATATCATGCTCTTCACACTTAAACCATAAAATTCAATTCAACAGCAATATCGCAAAATAATTTTAATATGAGCATATCTTCAAAATTTTCAATACACAGACTCGCATGCTAAAGATAAAGAATTTTTTTTTTTTTTTTTTTTTTTAATGTTGCCATGGCTTGCTTTGAAATTCTTAATCAAAAATTCGTTAAAGTTTCACTAAGCATGAAATAGATAATTAAACAAATTCCAAATTCGGGCTTCCAGATTCGGGTGGAAACATTCGTTATTCAAAATTTGATGGCTCTAGGTACCGTTGTTTCATCACAAACATACATTTATGCAGATTCTTCATTATTTAATATCTTTAAATGTAACACAGAACTCGAATATTTGGTGGTAACAATTTAAAAAGTGGTTCGCCGCTTATAGAGAATCAATGCAAAATACCAAAACGAAATTAATAGCCCTTCTGGACTAATGCCCTTTGGGCTAAAAAAATATGGTTTCAACCTGAGAAGTGAAAAATTATAATATGGAAAATAAAATTATAAGAAAAACCAGCAACAATCATGAATCCCTTAGAAAAACTTTCTTTCGATTCTTTGAACCATGTACTTAATTTTTTTTTCTCCCCTTTTATGATAATAAATGGCTTTTTTTTTGTTACAATCATTTAAATACACCCATGCTTCATCTATTGTGACAATTGTTTTCCATTTTTCTTTTGGATAAGTGTTTCTCATATAGAATTCTGCAGCGTGTCCTGCGCTGAGTGATATGCTTTGGAAGAAGACGATGCACATTGCGTTTTTTCGCTTAATTAAGATTTAAATCAACGTTTATCATTTTGAAATCTGAAAAATGAAAAACATTACAAACAGCTTGTTTTGGAATATACAGATAATAACTATTTAAAAAAAAAAAGAATACAATATAAGAAATAAAAGGACTGAAATGTTAAAGATCTAGTTGAATTAGAAGTTTTACAATATAATCAAGAAGGTTTTTACGTTCCTTTTGCTAAAAAATTAACAGATGATGGAAATTTTGAAGTGGGAAATAAAATTTTAACCATTTTCAGAGATTCTGTACATGATCAAAATGCTGCAACAAAACATTTTGTTTATAAAACTGCTGTTTCATTTTATGCAACTTGCACACTTGAATCTATCCCTTTTAAACTTCAATAAAAGTGGCATCGCTATAGATTTTTTAAATTGATAATGATACCAAAGCAGAGTTGACCGAGTCACTAGCAGATTGTGTGAACATATGCGTTTACTGGTAGGGAGCGTTGAAAGAGAGAAAGATGGCGCTGCTTTGCAATGAATGTAAACAGTCAGAGTACTGGCAGATGAACGTTGTATAATGTAAGAAGAAGGGAACCGTGAATAGGTTTATTATGTAGTATAACTTTATGGAAGTTGGTCCACCTTATAATAGGAAAAATGTAAATAATGCATATAACATGGTATAATAAAGGAAAATAGATAAAGAACCAACTGATGCTGTTTTTATTGGATGGTCCGTCTAGTGGTGTTGTTTTCAATATTTAACTTCCACCGCAAAGTTCTTCGCAAACAGTCAAATCACAAAATCTGCCTTAAACCCGTATGCAGAAAAGGGTGCTTCTAATATATCTGACAAAAAATGCAAACGGAACCAGAATAAACAGATTTTATAATGGAATATCCGTGTGTGCGTATATGTGGAAATGGCGCATGTAAATAACCTCCGTATGTTGTCCGTATAACCTTCCATACCTCCGTATGTTGGCATATACGGAGATATGAACAAATCATGTAAGTGAGAAACACAATTAACGTCAAAAGAAACCAATATTTAGATTATTCAACATTTTAGAATATATGTTTGATGTACAACGCCAAAGAAACAAGATACTCAGGGTGTGCGCATGGACAAAAAAGATCACAGATATTTCACACAGCAGCAACTGACAGTCTCACTACTACAGACTGTTCACACATTTTTTAGACGATGTATATTGTATTCACAAAACTAAATTACATAAAATTCTTGTGTTTTAAATGTTCTATTTGACATCCCTTATTCTTAACTATCTTTCGACACCGCAATTTCCAGGATAATAATGCCTTTTGAAGTGGCAGAAGAGGTATTCTATCCCATTCCTCCCGAACAGCTTTCCAGAGTCCTGTTAGGGTTTTGGGACAACGTTTGGATAATGCAGTTTTTAAAAGTCCGAAAGCACAAAAATCCATAGGTGACACATCGGGAGATTTAGTAGGGATATCAGTGAAGGGTATGGCCTTGATACCAGTTTTTTGTTCCATTTCTTTTAGGAAATTTGCAGTGGATTTTGATGTATGACTGCTAGCTTTGTCCTGATGGAGTCTCACAGATTGATGGCACTGTGGGTAAAGCAATGGTATTTCATTCAGAAAAATTGGCGATAAAATATGTTTCTGATAGTATTTGGAGTTAATCTTAACATTTTTTTGCGCTCTCTTTATTTTTAACTTGCCATTATAAGAATAACCAGCAACAATCATGAATCCCTTAGAAAAACTTTCTTTCGATTCTTTGAACCAAGTACTTAATTTTTTTTCTCCCCTTTTATGATAATAAATGGCTCTTTTTCTGTTACAATCATTTAAATACACCCATGCTTCATCTATTGTGACAATTGTTTTCTATTTTTCTTTGGATAAGTGTTTCTCATATAGAATTCTGCAGCGTGTCCTGCGTTGAGTGATATGCTTTGGAAGAAGACGATGCACATTGCGTTTTTTCGCTTTCTTAAGATTTAAATCAACGTTTATCATTTTGTTTACAGTGGACACCGAACATTTTTAATGATTTTGCAACTGTCCTTTGACTAGGGGTATTTTCTTTTAACATTAAACAACGTACCTTTGCAATAGTCGAGGATGTCCGTTTTTTCCTTGGATACTTGTTTGGAATTTTTGTCCCACTTGAGGCTCCATTTTGACATTTTTTTTTCCTTTCTTGTTGATGATATTACCTATTGATATATAGATATATAGATATCAAAAAACCATGACTCTCACATCGTTTTTGGATAACAGAGTATGCATATTTCTCTTCCGAAAGAGCGTAAATGTAGCCTTCGAACCACTGCTTTGTTAAATTCGCCATTTTGAATAAAAACAAAACTTTCACGCCACAGACGATAATTTTGACTTTTAAAAATATAGTACAATTGCAATTACCTCTTTTGCAGCAAACTATTTTTTATTACAGCTTACCAAAATCGTCTAAAAAATGTGGAAACAGCCTCTGCGTAATTCTGAAAATATTGAGATGACTATCAATTATTAATAAGAGGATTCTGAGAGAAAACATGTCTGATAAAACTAAAGCAATTAAAGGAGGAACTGCACATGGCAAAAGAACATCTTATATAGACATGTGATAAATGGATGCAAATTATTTGAGCTTACAGAAACACTATTCACCTCTGAAAGCCTTGGAAAATATTCTTACCCGTCTGAATTTTATTCTTTAATTAGCAATTGATCTGAGTACATTTTTCTGCCTTTGTCTGTTTCATTTCATTGAGTGTACTTCTTAAGTTTTCAACCAGGAAAGAATTCTCTCCTGCCAGGAGGGGGGGGGGAGAATTCCACAGTTTCAGGGGAGAATGCAATCAGCCTTTTATTTACCTGTTAAGCAACGTAATCACAGCTTTCAAATGCGCTCTCATTATGTAAATAATTTGCTTTTAAAAGAAAGGTTAAAAAAAAAAAAACACTCACTGGTAATATTGTAATTACAGCCATTTGAGTGGTCTCAAGTATCAAATCTATGATGGATAGTATGATTCGTTGTTCAAAATGAGTTCTCAACTGAACACAGGGTTGGTACTAACCTTTCTGCTACCCAGTGCCTGACTATATTCTCCTGATGCATATACCAGAGGCAATATTCAGGAGAGGCAACCAATGCAGCCACACCAGTTACAGTAGTTCTAGCACCAGCTCTCAACTAAATACACTTGTGTTACATGGATATAAATTTTCTTATATTGCAGGCATGTTCTTTTCCTTTTCTTTTAAATATTCAATAATATAATATCACAGTACATCTTTAAGTTTATTAAAAAATAATTGCATTTAATAAAACACAGCATTTTCTATTAGCATGAAAATCTTAAAATGTACCTAAAATTTATCACCCTTTCTTTTTGGGCGTTAGTGTAGCAACATAAATTTTTTAGATTCCCCCCCTTAAAACTGAATTTCATATAAAATGCATAACACAAGATAATTCAGCAGAATGCAAAAGAAAACAATTTTTATTCTTTCATAACTTGATTACCTTCTAAGAGACATTACAAATGGTGACAAATATACATAACAGTATTATGTAATTACAACCTGGAATGTGATTTTCACAACCACCTGATTTGGCATTTTTCCAAATCTGGTATACATATGTACAAAAATGGATTACACTTTTTTCAAAATAATAATAATAATAATAATAATAATAATAATAATGTTTAAAAATTTATATCATAGAAAAAAGAAATGAAGTTACTAACTAGTGTCATATAAGAAACTTCATTTATGTCGATCAATAAAAAAGCTTCTGACCATAACATTTTGCAACTACCTCAAAAGTTTAAACTTAGTTCTTCTCATAATGTTATTACACCAGCGCAATAACAACAAATACCCCTCAAAAAAACATGAAAATAACAGAAAATAGTAAATTACACCAATTTTTTTTACATATAACTTTCCTTACATACATGTTTGAATATGCACACAAAACTTGATGGAAAGTAGTCCTAGTCTTAATATTTAATATCTATTATTGTATTTTACTATTCAGTTCAATATAATATTTCTTTAGCATATTATTTTCAGTCAGAAGGTACCCGAAATATTTACATACATTTCTTGTTTTCCCTCCATTTCATAAATAATTTTATAAATTAAAAGTGCAACAGAGAATTGAAATAGACAAAAGAATTGATATTGATCACAGATATCTTTTTCCAGAACACAATGTAAAATGACTACCTCATAAATTTGGCTGTAATTGCTATTTCCTAGGAATATTGCACAGAATTTTAAGTACAGTGAAACCTCGCTATCTCAACCATCAATAAGTCAACATTTCCAGTGATTTGATTTTCCTTAAAATTCTGTTTGGTGAATACACAGAATGGTCAGAATTAAAACACCCCTACTCTGATCTCTCTATATATTGAACTACTGAGTGTAAAGGCTCCAAAATTGGTGAATATACTAATCAAGACATGGGAAAATGGATTACACGAAAAAAAAATTAATTTCAGAAACATTAATGGATAGTGCTGTACAACAGAAAATATGATAAAAAGAGACAAATAATCACATGCAGTATGGAATTTTTGCTTTTTAATTTCTATTGCTGATAGGGAAAAAAAGGAGATAAAAAAGTGAAGAAACTTAAACTGTCATTGTAACTACAATTTTGCACTATAAGCACAAAAATTCACATAAAACCCTGGTTCACGGCTACTGTTTTGGGCATAAAAGGGGATAAAACTGGGAAAAGGTAATTTTTATCAGCGATGGCTGTCACACTGCTAGAACGCACTTTGCTTGTAAAGCTGTTTTATGAAAACAAAGGAAATGCTGCAGCTACACTTAGAGTTTCGTTGATTTAAGAATTTACACAAAGGACCATTACTTTCACAAGCTCTCAGGAGGATGATTGCTCGATTCAAGAAAACTGGAGTTCTTAGAATTCAGCCGGGTCGAGGACACAAGTCGATTTGTTCAGATGTTATTGAACATACTGCCACCACTATTGTTGAACAATCAATGAATAACATTATAGGATGTAGTAGTGCACTTGCGGTGTCACAGCACCTGGGTCTTTCCCTACAGTACAGTGCAGAACGTATTGAGAAAAATGGTGCATTTTTACCGTACAAAATTTGTCATAATCAGCATTGACAGGAAGAAGTGACTGACCTTTGCATCAATATTTCTGGCTAGAGTCGAAGTGGATGAATAGCGGCCACAGCATATTGTATAGAGCGATGATGCACATTTCCATTTAAGTGGAACAGTTAACACATTACCGACCGGCAGCCTAATTAATCGGCTTTTTATCACCAACACCTACCAACCGATAGCCTATTAATCGGCTTTTCATCACCAAAGTCTACCGACCGATCGCCTACTAATCGGCTTTTTTTAGGCAACGCCTATGGACCGATACCCTATTAATTGCTTTTTTCTCGGGACTACCTAAAAATAGCCTATCAATCGGTAGCCATTGCGATAAACAATTGCCATTTGCTATATCATCTGCATTTTATTATTAGTATTGATGTACATTGCTCACTTGCGTTATGTGTGTTGCTTCATAAACTCCCACATTTTTCACACCGTTTTTTAAAAAAATTCCGTTCACGATGAGCGAAAAAAATGGTACTGGAGAGTTTTATTTAGACAATTTATCAGATTGTCCTGACAGTTATTTAGAACATGAAGAATCTGCGGCTGAGCAGAGGTGCATATGCTGTTGAACCGCTAGCGGTCGGTAAAGTGTTAACATCTATAACTGTCACATTTGGGACATGGAAAACCCTATACCTTCCAGGGATTCCACTTCACTCACCAAAAGTTACAGTTTGGTGAGGATTCACAGCCATATTCATTATTGGACCTTTCCTTTTTGAAGAGGCTATGCATGATGGCCCTGTGACATACACCGTGACAGCCAGGAGGTGCATAAACATACTCGAAAATTCTGTTGTACCCCAAATGCAACAGCACTAATGTCTTGATTCAATTACCTTTATGCAAGATGGAGCACATTGGACTCTGTTTACAGAGGTTTCTTTGGCAGCATTTTACAAATGATAGAGTAATTAGTCATGCATTTCTGACAACCTGGCCATCTCGCTCTCTGGATCTTAATCCCTGTGATTTTTGGCTGTGGGGTTACTTAAAAAAATCTTGTTTACAGAGAATGTTTGATAACCTTTGCAGATTTGAAAGACAGTATCACTCTGCATGTGAGAAGCATCTCAATCAACCCATTACAATCCACAGTTGAACAAGCTGTCCACAGATTGCAGATTTTACATCTTGAAGAAGGGAACCACATTGAGCAGCTTTCCCTGCATCGATAAGGTCATCTGTGATACGAATGTTTAGTATGTTCGAATAAAATGTGTTACATATGTGTATTTTGTGTCCTTATGCATATTTTCTGTTGTACAGCGCCATTTATTGGTGTTTCTGGAACTTATTCTTTTTTTTTTTTTACGTAATCCGTTTCCGCATGTCTTAACTAGCATGTTCAACAATTCTGGTACCTTTTCACTCAGTAGTTCGATGTACAGAGAGCTCAGAGTAAGGGTGTTTTAATTCTAACCACCATTTTGTTATGGAGAGAAAACCTGTTACCTTTATACTGGCAAATGGAAATCCACTTAAGTTGACATAAGTTCCTCTCCCTTTCAACAAAATCACCTGTTTATTACATTTTTAAGAACATGCAATGACTGATAATTCAGAAAAAGAAGATTCAGAATTTGGGCAATACCTAATAAATATCAATAATGATTTAGCTATTACATAAACACAGCCCCATAAATTTATGGATACTACAGATGAGAAAATAAAGCTCAGAAGATAAATTTAAAAATAAGTGTAACATAAAAAGCTTTGCAAGCTATAGATCAAGTTTCAATTTATCAGAGTTTAAGATGGCACAGAAGCTGATTTGAAAGACTCAAGTAACATTTAAGTTTGTCAAAAGAGGGGGAAAAAATGGGGTGGGACAAAATACTTTTCAGAACTTTCTTAAACATGTTTAGAAAAAAAAAAAAAAAAAAAAAAATGCATTGTAACCAAATGTAAGGTACTTATGCATAGTATAAATGTTGATTTATATGTAAGTTAATATTATAAACAGAAAAAGAGGCAGAGTATATATAAATTCATTGGATTAAAAAATTTAAATCATTTTCTTCTAAATTTAAAGAAAATTCATAACAATTAAAATGTATTTCAAATTCTCTCCATACCTGCATATAAATCATTTACCACATAATGCATCAACTTGGCGAGGTTTTACTGCATTTTAAGTATACAATTAATTACATTTTAAAACTTCTTTCTCAATACAGCTAATATGCATACAAAAGCATAAACCACATTTTACATATCACATAAGCTTCAAAGGAAAGAAAGAAAAAGAAGGGACAAAAAGACCTTATTTGTAAAATTTATATTCTAATAATATTTATGAAGAATCTGATTGATATAATAAATTTATATTCTTCAATATTTAAGTTTAAAAAAATTTTAAATATTTTTTTTCAGTATGTCTGTATATGAAATATCTAAATTTCATAGCCATAATCTTGATATACTCTTCAACATATAAAATTTTATAGGGGAATATGGCAACATAATAGCAAAAATTTAACTTAACCCAATACAATACGCTATTTATTTTTCTGTATATTTTACTTATAATTTAAAATAAATGAACAAAACTGCTAAAAAAAATTATATGCAGAAATTTACAGCATAATCAAAAGCAGTACATAAGTTCAGCACAATAATAATTTTTATTCCAAACTTACAGTAACTGTTTCATAAGATGTTAAACATTAATGAAATAACTCAGAAACCTTCAATTTTTCAATCCTTTTTTAAACAAAGAAACATGCTGTTCTGTATATAAGATGATATCAGAAGGAATTAATGCAAAATATTAAAGAAATCATATTTAAAAAGAATTAGACTAAACATATTAACATGAAATCATATAATGTAATCATAATCTTCTTATATATTTACATTATTACATTCATTTTAAGGAAAATAAAATTAAATAAAGACCATTTTCAGCTATAAGGTAAAATAGTTAAAAGGAGTTTTGCAGCATTTAGTTAATAAGTTAGCTCATTAACGTGACACGATCAAGCAACATATATTTTTAATTTTAAGTGTGGAATATATAAAATGAGAAATATATAATAAATCAAACAATATCACATAGCATTATAATGAATAAACAAAAATGCTATATAAATTATAGTTTTACACGGGTAGTGTACAGGTACATTCCACATAATTTGAATAAAAAATTGCTGCAAAATTCTTTGATTATATTACTTGCAATAAAATTTGTGATTGTAAAACACCGTATAAGTGATGTCACATATCATAAAATTACAACAAATAATTACAAAATATATAATTTATCCTATGTTTATTTTCATGCATGAATGGGAAAAGGAGCAATTCTTTTCATTATTAAAAAAATGCTGTGATTCTTATTAAAATAAAATTTTTAAAAATTAAAAAAGTTTGGATGCTATCAAAATTATTATTAAATTAAGAAAATTACAAATTTCAGTACACACAAAGACACACATTTTTCACAGTTTAATTCTTCATATACATGAATTGTAATTATTTACAATAAATAAAATTCTGAAGTACGTAAAATAATTTCAAAATAACTAATTTATTAAAGATCCCTGTACATTTTCAGGATAATTTATCACAGTTTAGTATAAAGTTTCAACATAAATACCAATGGATTCAATAAAATGGTGCTATAAATATTGAGCAAAATCATGAATACTAATGTAATCTTATTATATATTTTGTAATGCTTCATCACAACACATATTCACTAAAATATATTTAATCAATAATGAAGGCACTGAAATATATTCACAGAAAAAAATATAGGAAGGAAAGACGGGGAAAAAAGTGGTATAAGAAGAAATACATTGATCTATGGATTAAAAAAAAATTATTATTATACACATAGAAAAAATGGAGAAAATAGAAATTAATTTTTTATCAACTATAAGAAAAATTCATTTTTCACAACAAATTTTTTAGTGATTTGATGATAATGAGATGCCAAAGTTACTGTTATTCTTCTGTACAATATAAACAAATTCTGATTATTGATCTGACGAGGAAATAATTTATTAAAATGAGAACTGTGAGAATTTTTTGTAATGAGAAGACAGTTTAAATGAGATGTTTCCTGGACATCCTGAGAAGACATATTTCTAAATTAAGGGTTTCGAACTATTGCTCATAGTTTTACCTCCACCCCCAAAGTGCTTATTAATGTGCAAGACATTTTTTCTTACACTTATAAATATAAAATAAAAGTTTGTTTTGATAGAAAGATTAAATGCACCTATTCAGCAAATTCAGAAGGGGCAATTTTAGTTTTTGTATGAATTAAAAATGAATAAGTAATAATACAAAAACACAACTGAAATCATTATTTCTCTCGCAATGTGTCTAAGAACAAAATACCCTGAGGAACGACATAAATGCATACTCTACCTGAAAAGGATATGATACATAAAATTAATATTTCAGAGTACACAACTAAAAATAATGGGCACTGCAAATTGCTGCTTAGTTTTCAATTGTAAAAATAAATCCATTGATTACCATCAATAACTAATAGTTTATTACATGTTTAATATGATAATCAAAAGAAATATCCAATCATTCAATTTTTTAAATTTCTTTATGTGATTTAACATCTTTTTAATGTGAAAAGCAATAAAAGTGAAGATAAAAATATTCTTTTCAAATTCTTTACACGCAGCAAGACTCGCAAATTAAAATTTTCTGTTAATGAAAAGTATCCACTTTCCTCCAGTTTCTCAAAGAAAAAAATTAAAAGACACTTTTATTAATTTTACTTAAATAATTTCAGCATCTGATTACCTCAAAGATAAATATAGAAAAAACTTTAAAATTCATTCAGCAGTAAAAAAATTCATTAGATATAGCATCTGATACTGGAAAAAAAAAATGGAAAATCACATCTTTTATGGAAATATTTATTAAGTACAGCATTATGCATTTGTAAACCAATAAAAAATATTGAATAAACTAGAACTTAAGATCATCGCTATTACAGACTTTTATCTGCAAGCTTAAGCAGCCTATCTTTGATACAAATTGTCATATTATTAAAATATCATAGCTGCCAACACTGAAATATGAAAAATCAAAGTTCTTATATGAAAGTTGGAAGTTTCTGGGAGTTTTTCAAATTGATTTTAATTCACTTTATAATGCATGCTTCACATTGTTGAACTACTTATAATTCTGACACAAAACATATTAATATTTAATTATATATTCTAAATTTTATTTTCTTTAGCTGATTTCCTTTTTTAATTTTCTTACACTTTATTAAATGCTGAGAATATCTTGATACTGAAGAAAAGCTTTTATTTATTAAAGTAATAAAATTTATAATTAATACATAGCATTTATTCACCAAAACAAAATTAAATATAATATTAACTGATTAAACATTGGTTGCATCTCCATAAAATGCCCTACATAAAACAGATTCAGACAATAAAACCACATAAAATTTAATAAGAAAAATTAGGTTAAAATTCGACAGGAATGAGAGAATGTAATTTGCATAAAGTTTCAATTACCCAACAAATTTAATTTATTACAAGAAAACATTTTTCTTAAAGAGTAAAAACTAAAATCTGGGAGATTGCATTCTAATGGGAAACAGGAAGATGTGATAAAAAAAACCAAGTGAGTTGGCAGCTATGAAAGATTCATAAACATTTCAAGTTTCATACAGATACTAACTGTCAAATATCGGGCACTACACATAGATATTGGCAGGAGGTCTTATTTTATATAGCTAAATATATCTCAGATTATTTAATGAAAATGCAATATGAAAGTTTGCCTCATATGCTCAAATGCATATGAAGACTTTTTTTTTTTTTTTTTTTTTTTTTTTTTTTTACCTTATTAAGTCTTTTAAGAGAGGTGAGACAGTTTTAATAATTTCACTGGTACATGCTTTGATTTAGAATTTTATAAATTTTTACTCTGAAACAAAAATACCTATCTAATGCACAAAAATTTTTTACTGCTTGCTGTCCACACATTTTTCCACAGTAAAAGTGTTATACAAAAGAATACCCTTTTTCCCCCAGAACAAAATTAATCAATTTAGAGAAAACTATCTCAAGCATTACAAAATGCAAAACAAGCAAATGTAACAACAAGCATTACAAAATTCTAAAATATTACATTCCAGAAGCAGATACATTCACGACTTTGAAATTAGGAATTGCACATTTCTTGGTCTTTTCATATAAAGAATTAAGACACAGTTAAGTCACCTTAAGGTTTCACTTCTAAGACATTTGAGATATATCTAAAGAAAATTGAGTTAAAATATACAATTTCACCAATCTCATACATTTTTTCTTGACAAAAATTTATAAATTTACAAGACCCATCAAGATAAAAACATGCTAAGAAATACATCATGGCATGTCCCAGTAAATATATCATGGCATCTCACTTAATGTTTCATTAATTTACATATCAGAGAAGTAAAATATTCTACCAGATGCATATTAAAAACAAATCCTTCATACAATTTACATACTCAGTGTTTTTATTCAAATTCAGCTCTCATCAATATAAGTATAAATTCATATTTCAACTGAGATAGATACACAAATATGTAAATTTCTATTAATTGTTCCCAGATCAGATAACACATGATCAAATGTTAAAATTTGGAAAAATTCTCTCTTTCTCAGATATTTCACATTTAATGTTCATATATTCAAGTCATCTCACACAGAAAGTTGAATTTAATATTACACAGTGCTGCAAAATTACTTTTATTATCATTTCTAATTAATGGCAATTCGATTCAATATTCAACTACTTCACTTACATTGCTTCCTCTCATAAGAGTTTATAAGAAATATTTTAACATTAAACATAATACAAAATGTTTGCATAGATGTAAAAAGAACATCAGAAGCAATATTAAGTACACTTCAAGGAAGAAAAGTTATTCAAAATTCAGATAAGCATCTCTTTAGTAATATCCATATATAAAATATATGTTGCTGTATGTTAGAAAAATAACAAATCAGTTACTTTAAACTATGGTTTAAAATGTTAGATAATGAAAACTGAAAAAGATGACTAGCAACACTTACTTCTAGTTTGACAATCACAACACAGAAAACAGCTAGAAATTTACCATGTAACCTTCTGAGGCATATCACTGCTACATGAGACATACACTAGGCATTCAAACCCAAATGAACTATTTACATAATTAAAGTAGATATAAATGTAAATAAAGCATTTTACACTAGATCAACATATTTACCCAGCTATTTAAAAGCAAATTCAATACCATTTTTAAATGATAAAACATTCTATTCATTTTTTTCCAGTGATTTATCAGTTTAAATAAACTTCTATAAACATAAATTTTTAAAAAAATTACTTTTTGAAATAAAATGTGAGCTAATAAAATTGTAATACTCAAACCCATACATGTCAACATTCATTTTTTGTCAATGAGCAGTGGTTAAAAATTTGAAAGATTTCATTTTAATTATAGGAATATGTTCTAATTCAAATATCTTATGTACACCAATTATTATGAATACAATTTATAGAAATTAATACAAATCTACGGAAGATAAAATTAAAATTTCCATACTTTACAAAAAAAAAAAAAAAAAAAAAAAAAAAAAGATTTAATTTTCCTATTAGGAATCTCTCAATGTCCCTCAACACAAAATGTGAGATCAGACATCATACCAAGCATTATGCAAGTACAACAATGTGAGAATACTTTAAGCACTGTACAAATGATTAAATCAAAATAATGCACATAGCTGAATTAGAAATTACGAGGGAATGAAGCTTCAGAGTTTGGAGTTCCAGGTGCATGAGGGGATTCACATCCTGATGATAAATAATCTTGGAGGTAAGCAGAAGTGCCATAAAATCTTTCTTGTTCTTCTCGCTGATGAGCAAACTCTTCTTCAAGTCTCTAAAACATTTCACATAAATTAATATTTTAGTTTCAGAAACATGAAAATAAGAAAAATCATTTCAAAAAGTCTAAATTAATATCTTGTTAACTTCAGTTAACATTTGAAGGAAAAACTCTCACTCACAAAGCGTAAGTTTTTAATGTACACTTTGTAAAAATGTTAAATACAACAATTTAAGGCTGCTTTTTAATTTTAAGAAAACATCCTACAATACAAATTTCAGAGTAAGTTTAAAAAATTCAAAATTTAGCTCAAAATTCAGTGAAACGGGAATCATGTTCCAGATTATATACCAGGAACATCGAAAAAAACAACCCTACGCGAAGGTGTTCACATTGCTGCAAATGTAAAATCAGTAAGGAATCGCGTTACTGGTGTTCAATTTGCAAAATCCCATTGCATATAGTACCCTGTTTCACTGAATATCACTCCACAGCAGGAATTTAAATTCTCACTTTTATAAGTATAATATTTAATTTGATTTATTGTGTTTTTAGTTTAATATGTATGTAATATATGCTTATGTTAACCAAATAAGTAAATATTAGTAATAAAATTTTCAATTTTATAAAATAAACCCATCTTTTTCATCAAATATCTTACCAGCTCAACTTACTCTGTGATTGACAAATATACTCGTCATGGCTCGATTCTGGCGACACAAAACTGTGCGCACTCTTAAACGAGAGTGCCACAGTTAAGTGGTTAAATAACTTTCCCCCTATCGATAAAAATAAAACGCAGTGTTCTATTCTTAAAGATTCCATCTCTAATTTTTAGGAAACTTATAGTATGTCATGACAGTAAGTTTGCGCTATATCAGACAAACTAAAAGAGTGTAAAAATTCATGTTAAACACGAATGTTATGTCTTTTCATAGTCACGACTGTTATGAACATGAAATGAAGAAATAAATAAATCTTTGATAGCTAATCATAACTGAGAATTTAATCACAATTTTGACTTTGGGTTTACAAAAATCATCCATACAGCTTCTTCCATTGGTGAACTGAATTTCCACAAAGCATTTCATATTAAAAAAAAAAAAAAAACTATCTTCAGTTAATGAAAGTAATTCCAATCTAGTCCTTCCGACTACTTTTAAAATTCTAATAATTTTTAATGTTTCATTACTATTTCCCTAGACAGATGGCACTATGCTCATATTCAGTTTGCTCCACCTGTTTGTTTTCAGTATAAACATGTTTGTCTCTTCCCTTCTTTGCAGAATTTTTCTGCTCTTGACAACCTTGCCTATCTGCCCTTGAAATTGACAGAGTTTTCTTCAAAATATAAGCCATACACGTGGTTGCTGTTCTGTCTAATTCTTAATTTCACTTTGGCATGTTTCTCTTCTCTCTTGAAGAAACTGTTGGTTCAGTTTTTTTTTTTTTTTTTTTTTTTTTTTCCGAAATTTTAACAGTTTTCACTGACAGTTGGCTTTCTTTTATTATTTGCAAACAAATTCATTTACAGGGAATTAAGACATTTTCTCAAAAATTGCAAATGCAAATGAAAAAAGATTATACATTAAATTTTGTTTTTGAAATAGAATTTCTGCTGCAAAAATTATTGAAATATTGAATTTTATCAAAGACAAAATTTTTTAGAGAAGGACAATTTTTTACGGAAGGCAGAAATGCATCCATGTTGAGTTGCACTTTGGATGACCTTCCATTTCACGTCAGTAATATGTCAATCAAGCTACAGACTTCCTCCTCACATCTCATCATACAGTTAAGGATGTTATTAAAAAAATTTCTACATCAAATGGGATTCTGCAGAACAATTCTAAACGACCATTTGTACTTGCATATATTTGCTTCTCAAGTTGTTAGAAAAATAACAATCTGCTTTAAATGGCTCAAAATGTGCTTTCTAAGGGCCAGTCCTTAAAATGCATTATGTTTATGCATATTATATCAATGCATATAAAACATACATTAATCCTTTAGGCATAGAAATAGCTAACCATTTAAGACAAAAGTATTTAAAATCTAACACAGAACTAAAAAGACCACAACAAAGTTTGTCAAAAATGAAGGTTACATTAAATATTCTTTTTAACTGCTGTGATGTTGCAAGTCAGGAATTTCTACCAAGTGGCCAAACTTTTAAAAAAGAATATTTGATTTGTCTAAGGTTTTTTGCATTAGACAACTCAAATATTCATAGAAAATGATATGAACTGTGGGGACAAAACTCACGGAATTTGTTACACCTCCAAAAGCTCTGTATTCACTTGATATGACACCATGTGATTTTTTTTAACCCCTTCTAATTTCCACAGTTAAAAGTACAAAATCATATAACTGTTCTGCAATGAAGGAATACTCCCTGCGAGTCCCGATGTGGTTTCAACAACGTTTAAACATTTTTCAAGAACTGAAAAATATTGGTGTAAATGCATTGCTGTCAAAAGGAATTACTTTAAAGAAAATATCATAAATATTGACTAATAAATCGAAAATTTGTATTTTATAGAATTATTCCCAATACTTTTTTCATCATAGTGGTATTTTCATGAAATATTACACTATATTCGATTTCATATCATTTAAAATTTGCCTTATCTCATATTATTCTGTGAATCACAAGGCAAACAATTCATTACCATAACTAATAATAAATTCATACAATGTTTCACAAGTATTCATTAAACTTTTAAATATCTTCCAAAATAAAATTATTCCTTAAGATTGTGAAAATTTTAAATATGCTGAAAGAGTATCGTATTCTTTCATGTAAAAGCCACACCCTTAATTAGCTTTGAAAAAACAATTTCTTGAGGATGAGTCGTGTCTACTATCTACAATATTTTTAAAAATTACCTTGGAGTTATGAAAGCAGTTAAAATGAAAACAGTGCTTTCCACAGAATCGGCCAAAGGGAACATGTCAATAATATGTTTAACACCTCTTATTCATAGTCACTGTTAGTACCACTAGAGTAGTTACCTGAACAACTATTGCTGGTACTGCTATTCCAAGGCACGTCATTCTCAGAGCCATCTAAAGCACTGGATATTACCACACTTAAAAAATCCCTTAATGATTGTTTCGGACTTGACACATCGACAGCCTCCAGAATCCATTCACATGCATGTTGCACACTCAAATGTTTTATTTTTCTTTTTGCTGTTTTTGAGGTAATGTCATGGCTTCCTGTACTCATTTGATCATAAGTAAACTTAAACAATCCTAAATAACGGTCATCCAATAATAATGTATTTTATAATCAATTACTCAGTTGCTCAGTACAAGCTGTTATGTTGCATGTGCTGCTGGGTTGTCACATGCTTAACCAGTAGTTTCTAATCATTCGCATGTATAAACCACACCCATTTTCATCTGCTTTTCTGTGAAAAAAGTGTGAAAAATAAATGAAAGGATACAGTATTTAAATTTTATTAAAATAATATTTATAGCTGCTACCCTTATAATTTAGATGGTTTATGACAGTTAAATGAAAATACTTATTTAAATGAAAATACTGGTAATCGAAATAACTTTGAAATATTACAGGGTAAACACCAATACTCATAAAAATACATAAACCAATACCAGATGTACAAATTATTTAATTTCCTCCCCCCCCAACAATTTTCCCCTATGGATTCATTTTACATGTTTTTATATATTTTACCTGTATATATATAAAATATTTTTTTAAATTTTAATCTAATAATATCAGTAAATATAATGCATAAATTTTACTGATAATGCAAAAATGCAATAAAAAATGCATGCATTTTCATATTTAGTCTATCGAAAATGCAAAACAAACTGTAAATGCATATACAGATACTAAAAGCTGTGTTAGTTATTACCTGTTTACGAGGCTTAAGATTTGCTTTCCATTCTTTAAGTTCATTTAAATGTTCTTCTTCTAACTGCTTCAATTTTAAGGTTTCATGTTCCATTAACATCTTTCTTTTTTCATTCTAAAATTAATTAAAAATATATGAATAAAAATTATGCACAAGTAGCTTAAAAATAAATTACATGGTAAATGAATCCAAGCTATTAATAAGTAACACCATAAAACTAAATAATACAAGCATCTTCTTGTATCCATTAGTTCAGTTAAGAGCAAAACAGCAGTGGTTAGCTACATGAGTTTTTAAGATAGCAACAGAATTTTCTATTATTTCTAACAGTTAATTTTAATTTGTCTTTTTTTAAGTCCAAACAATATAATTTCCTTAAGGTCTGGCATCAATATTCAAGGTAGCCATCTGGCCACTCTGCCATACGTTTTATTATTTCACTGACCAAACACTGATGTCTATTTTTGCCATGACTAAACAAACTGTCGTGCATCATTACACACCACATATTCCTTCCTTTCATATGCATTTATTGGGCAGACATATCCACATTGCCACAATTTACTGAAAATTGCAGCAGAAAGCATGATTATCCTAAAAATAGACGACTCTCCTAATAATAACAAAAATTTTTAATTTGTGTATTAAGAATACTCCTATGGGGGCAGTAGGCATGTTCAATTGCTTGTATCCTCCCTAAGAACATGATTTGAGAAGTAATACACACAGTGTAAAATCTCGAGGAAGATTACAGCAGAATAAAGTGTTGTCTTTGTAAAATCTGGCCTATTATCCAGATTGTAAAATACTGGGTAGAGTTTTCCCTCTTCTCATCTCTGGGCTGTGTCTCACACAACAAAACTCTGGGAAGAAGGAAAGGAAGCCAGATTGGGAGAAAGTCAAAATTGAGATTAAAATGAAACAATTAGGTGTTAAAATCTTCATCACGTTAAAAAGTTAAAATCGAGTTACAAATATTTTTAGAAGTTTGATAAAATTTTAATAAATTATTTGGAGAAAATAATTCATTAATTTTGAATAGCAACAGAATATTCTATTATTTCTAACATTTAATTTCAATTCACTTGCTCCATTAAAAGACAGGTAGGATAGAATGGTCAGTTTCTGATTTAGGGAATTTGGTTTATCTACTTCAAAAATAACTTTATAAGAATATTGTTTTGAAAATATATAATAGCCTGAAAAAGGAAGATAGAAAGTTTTCTAGTGTTAAGATATTGGAATTCCTCATACATTACTAAATCTCCAGGTTTAAAATTACTTGCTTTAAAATGGGAGTCATATCTTTTTATTTAGGTTATGATAATCATCCTTTTGTCAGCAATTTTGATAGCTTTCTCAATTTGGTGGATGTAAAATTTTCTTTGGGGGCCTGAATTTAAAAAAAAAAATGTCTTAAACAATTTATATAAGTATCACTAGTCACACTTTCAGAAGCAAAAGTCTTAGCATGATCTGTAAGAATGTGAATGTACTTTTTAGTAGAATTATAATAATTTAAACCACCTACAGTATCAAAAGATAACAATTCAAAAGGTTCACATACCGAAGGTAAGGCTTGCATCAAACTTAATTTCTTTTGTTTAATTTTCTTATTAAACTCATATACTTCAAAATGTTTACAATAATTTCAAATGTTTTGCACTACTATTCCCCCCCCCCAGTAATACTGAAGAGACACCAACATATCCAAATTTAACATCAGCTTTTTCCAGTACTTTAGTACAAAGACACACGGTAATTACAATGTGATACAGTTCTTATTTCTTTACAGTTGACACATCATTAATTTTCTTATACATAGGATTATGCAAACATTATATAAATTTTGATGATCTTTAATTTCTTCTAATGGTAATAAATTAGTTTGTACACATGTTGACGAATAAGATTTCTAGTTAATATGTCAGCTTTAACATTAGCAGAACCTTTTTTATATTTCAAAATAATACATGGATAATTTTAACAATCACAAAAATAGACTAATTATAGGATATCTTAATTACCTATAGGGTGTTATATATTTTTAAGCCAAACTAGGGCAGCAGCATCAGTATGCATAATAAAATGGTTATACAAATAATAATAAAATTTCTTATTAGCATCTATAATAGCTAAACATTCTAATTCAGTAACTGCATAAAATTTCTTCTAAGTTCTTAATTTTCAAGAATTGTAAGTTGCAGGATGTAAAATTATGCCTACAATAATTGCACATCATGTAGATAAGACTGTACATCCTGTAGATCCTATCTTATACAGGGTAAACTACGTCTCGGGTCTCTTGTTTTAAAATTTCGCCAACCGCTTCTTTAGATACATCTACAAACACGACTGAGATATTTTATATTTAAGTAAAGTTAAAATAAGTCTGAAAATTAAAGCAGCTTTTAAATTTTAAAAGACTGTTTTGGCATTCAAGCATCCATTTATATGGAATATCTTTTTTAAATAAATTTGATACAAAGGCTCTAATTCTTGCATAGTTTGAAATGAATTTATAATACACATTAATACTTATTATAATTAAGACACAAGACTTATTATAATACTTATTAATATTTTACCGAATATAGTTATATTACATGGGTATCCTAGATGATTGATTACTATTTTTTTATTTTACTGCAAAATGACAAGGTATTTATTAAAAAGAAAAAGAAAAAAAAAAAAAAAAAAAAAAAAAAGATTTTGCGGTAAAATCCTAGTATACGATACGGCCTTCGCATGATTTTGAAAATTGTCGCCAAGAACAAAATGACCCGTTTACTGCTCATCATCATGTCGCCAAATCCCGCTGTACCATACATGGAGATTATTCTAACCAAAGAACGTCTATGTAAAAAGCGGAGGGAAATTTTGCCAAGGGATTTGGCGACGGAACCTGGCGACCAGAATTTCCCTCTCCGCGATGTGTACAGGAAATTGGGAAACACGTGTTAAGAAACGTTCTTAGACAAAAAAGAAAACTACGAAAATCCGTTTTTAAATTATTGCGAAAAATCCAAGAAGAAATGTTTTATCAAAGAACGTTTTTTCTTGGATTTTTCGCAATAATTTTAAAAACGGATTTTCGTAGATTCCCCCCCCCCTCTCAAAATAACTAATCCATGAATTAGTTTACTTGCGCCAAAAAATATTTTCTTTTCCTTTAGAGTTTAAAGAAATTTTAAACGATATTCATTTTATGAACTCTTGATAACGTGACCTTCGAACTTCGACACCGTTTCGACCTTTGGCGACAGATATTTCGCGCATGCACAGTTGTTTCCTGCTATGATGGAACGGAGCCACGTCTGTTGCAGAGAGGTTTTCCTTCTTTACAATACATATTTTTTTATTCTAACCTTAATGGTACCGTATACTAGGATTAAACCCATTTTATTTTATACGAGAACAGGTACTTTCTTTAGTTCTTGCACTGCACATGCAATTCTCGAGGTTACTGGAAACTAAAAGTTGCGGGAAACTTGCTTGCCTTTCTAAAAAGACAATCAAATTGGAGCTGCGAAAATTGGCTCTATGCCAGCTGCCCGAATGACGCTCACGTGATACACAATTCGCCAAAAAAGTGATCTCTTCCGACGTTGGTGCAAAACTCGACTTTTTTGGCGGGATCGTTGTATGAAATTCCCTGACTTTTCCAGATTTTGACTAAAACACTTAAATTCCCTGACTTTTCTCTGAATTTTTTGGTCAATTTCCGAATTCCCTGACTTTTTCCGGTTTTCCAGGTAGTGTGGCAACCCTGTCTATTAAATTTATGAAGACCAAAATTAGTTGAAAAGTAATTTTTTCAGTACTTTTCTCATTTAACTTGATATGCCCATAACCAGATGCTAAATCTAAGGCTGAAAACACTTTTGCATTTGTTAAATTGATCAAGTACTGCATCTATTCTAGGTATGGGTTCAGAATCTGCTTTAGTAATTTGGCTATGTTTTCTACAATCAATGCATAATCTAGTTTTTGTACTTTTATCTCTTTTATAAGTTAATGTTACAGGGCAGCATAAAGACTAAATGAATTTTATAATACCTGCATGTAATAACTCGCCTATTTGTTTTTTAATTTCAGCATTATCTTTAGCGGATGTTCTATATGGTTGAAAAGTGACAGGAATTTGTGAAGTCAATATTGCTCTTGAAGGTTCAATATTAATGCAGCCTACATCATTTACTTTTTGCAAATATATCAGAATAATTACTTAATAATTCTTTAAACTGGTTATTTACACAGTAATTTTCACACTCATTATTTGAAATATGATTAGCATAATCTTTTTCATTTTGAATATTTTCACATAAATATAAGAAATTATTATTAAAAGGATTATTTAGACATACATCTTAACTTACATTTTTCTTAAATTGATACATGTCTTAATCAGTAAATTTCAACTGCGATTTAAACAAGGGACACAAGATGAAGAGAATAATAAATAATTCAAATGAGAATTAAGAATGTAAGATATCATATTTCGACTTGATATCATATTTCGACTTTCATATTTTGACAATTTAATTAATTTAGTGATAAAAATAACTCCAGATAGAGACAATAACTTGAGGTTTCATGTTCAGTAGTTTCAAAATTATCAACACAACTTAAAATATTTCCAGAAATTATATTTAACCTGACTACCCATATCCATAGTAGCAGAAATTTATTGCTCCCTGAGTTAATATTTAACTTTAAAATATTGTTGTTTTTAAGGCAAAAGTTTGATTATAATCAAAGACAATATACCAGGAATTTAGATATTTCAATGATGGTGGCTGAACATTTTCTCCTGATTTTGAGGCAAATAAGACATAAGATAAAATGATCTTGGAGTAGGGTATGTTGGAAAACTAAAACATGAATGAGGATTTTGCCTAGGAACAGAAAACCTGGGCACATTACTGATGCTTTATAATTCTTTAGTTGGGAATAATTTTTATGCTAGTAAAATCCAATTGTGAAGGGAAGTTATGTTTTGGACAGATAACAACATATGATGTTGCTTGAGTGAGAGACTCAATTAGAATTTGATCACTTAATTTCAATGCAGTATAATTTTAGTTTCTATCTGAAATACTTATCTGTGTCTTTAAATTTACTACAAGTGACTGAGATAAAGCACTGAGTTAAAAATTAAGAAGTTGGAAATTAAGTTAGAAATTTCTCTTTTAATAAATTCCCACTATCTATCTTGACACACAAATATATAATGTTGATGCTTCTCCTTTTAGAAGTAATATTTTAGAAAATAGTACCATGAAAGGATTTAGTGGAGAAGATATTTTCCATTACATATATGTGTGTTTATGTACAATTGCACAATTATGGATATTTAATTTATAAATATAGTTTGCCGTTCAACCGGGATAGTGGTTAGCAATGCTGCCTGTCTTACGGAAGAGCCCGAGTTCAAATCATGGAGAAGTCATGGATGTTTGTACATGTATAGTGTATGTGTGGAATGGGGCACTCTTTTGATGTGGCAAGCCACAAGTCCTCTCCAGAAGTTGATGGTAGAGAAACTTTTGGTCCCGTCTCCCCAAGGTACTGTCCTTTGAATTTGCGGGGGGGGGGGGACTGAGCAAAGTCATACTATCAACCTGTACTGTACTCAAGGCTCTTACCAAAGACTTGCACAATCTTACACTTCTTATCACAATGAATTCCGTGGGCTTGTTCTGATGTTACTGCCAGACAAGTGAACTAAGTCACATCATCATCAATTATAGTTTTATAATGTAATATTCTAAATTCTAAAATCATATGCATTTGTCTAAGATTTTTTATATTTTATAGCAGCTAAAATGCACATATATGCATGCATGCTGCTGTTATTATTTTATATATCAAATTATATCACATGTCAAATATTTGGGGTGGAATCTTGAACAACAGTTTAACTGTATTCTATTTATACCTAAATTTTGTTTAAAATAATTAAAATATTTTTATTTGCTACTCACTTGCATTTGCTCCAGTTCCTTCACAGTAGCCTCAGCATGAGCTCTTAATTCTTCTAGCTGTTTTTTATGTTTCAATTCTTGACGCTGTTGCTCAGCTTTGTAACGACGCTTTTCACCTTCTTGGAACTTCACAATAAAAAAAAAAAAAAAAAAGTGATGGATTTGAAAGAAAAAAAAAGTATGAAAAGAAAAAAAAATTAAGATACTATCAGCTATATAAAAAATATGCATGAAATCTCACAGAAAATAATGCTACAAAATAACTGTTTTTAAAGTAATAATAACAACAGCTTTTGTTGAAATCAGCCTCCATTAAAAAAAATAGACAAATCCGTTTTTATCAGATGGCATGTGGCGTGAAAAGTTATGTTTTTTTGTACGTTATATTTAAATTATATATCATTTAAAATTGAGAACAAGAAATCAAATTAAAAAAAAAAGAGAGAGAGATTATGTAAGATGCCTGCAACTTTTTTCGATCGTTTTTTTTCCGCATATATATGTAATGCTCTGTAATTGTTTTTCATGTCCAACGTGTAAGATTATTTGAAAGAGAAGTGTTTTCTAGTAATATAAATTTCAAGAAATTTTGTCAAGGTAAGCTTAGCCGAGATTAGAACTTTTAAGGAAAAAAAAGTTGTCAAATATTTGTTCTTAAAATGAGCTGTGTGGTGTACGCTTTCAAAAAAACTGGTGTTTACTGAAAATTTTTATATTCTGAACTCAATTTGATATTGACTGTATCCTCGGAAATTTGTATACAAGTTAAAATACGGCTGGAGCACAACCATATGAGTTGTTAAAGAGGAAATTTAAATCACAGCTGTTATAAAGATAGTTAATGATTTAGGAGCTGAATTATGAAACACAAATTAAAATGCTAGAAAGAGAGAGGAGCTTATATAAATTCTTTCAATTAAATTTGACTCTTTAACTTCAGTTGACCAACAACTTAACACTTAAGAAGCCTGAGAAATTTGATATCGAATTTAAAACAACACAAGAATATAGAGAAAGAGTATTGCTTTGGCAGTTTCATGCATAAAATAAAATTGAAGAATTTCCAAATACTCAAGTCATGACAACCTATGGGCTTCCAACAGCTCCTTAATTAGAAGTAATTTTGAACTCTCACAGTCATTTTGTATTAAAAGTCCGAAAATACCGTATTGCCTGATTCTTTGCAGATGTAGCTCAAAACGGCTTACCTTTTGGAACAGTTTCAAAACAGCTGTGCACAATAATGAATCCCTAAACAAAGTAGATAAATTAAATTATTTAACGGCTGGTCTGGGTGAATCTGCTTTGAGCATCGAGAGTTTTCACATTTTGGCAGAAGCCTATGATAAAGATATATAAATATTAAAGGACAGATTTAACAATCCCGAGATATTGATTTAAGCACACATGAATAAGATCTAACTATGCAGCCATAAAAAAACTAGAGGTGGTAAAATTTTTAGGAAATTTTTTGACAATTATAACGTGCAATTAAGAAATTTAAAATCATCAGACACCTCTCCCAATAAGATATTTTGAAGTATTTTGTTTCAACTTATTTAGTGCTAGATTATAACAAGACAAATCTATCTCGGACATTCAGCGTTTGCTTTCATTTCTTACTCATGCTTTGACAGCATGTGACAAGACATATCCTAAAAATAAACTGTCTTTCAAATTATGCAATTGAAAACATGATTTTAGATATAATTTTGTGCGAGAAACAAATTTGAAAAGAAAACCAAATTTAAAGGATCTTCCAACCACGAACTAGTAACCAATCATATCAATTTAATACAGACAAAAAGATAGCAGCTATTTTATTTTGTTATTCTATAATTCGTACATCAAAAAGCTGCAATGTTATGATTAATCTTTTCTTGGAAGACAGAATAAATATTTTATGACATAAAAGAGCTTGCTTTAAATGTTTACAAAAAGCAAAGCATATATCACGAAATTGCCTCATTAAGAGATCTAAATGTGAATTATGTTCTGGATCAGCGGTTGTCAACCCTTAGAACTTCACAGACCACTACATACATAATTTTACATTTGGTGGACCACTAATATTAATTAAAAAAAGGTAAATACATTTATACTATAATAACCAGCAAACTACACAGTTTGTTCACATTGAAAATTACATGAAAAGTACAAAAATCTTACCTTCTTGTTTCACATTTCCATATCATTGAGAAGGAACTTCACGAAAAGCAAGAACAAACTGGCAAACACACAGCAGTATCAATAAACTGATATTATGCCACAAATTTTTTTAATTATTGTAAACACAATCATCATCGCTTACTCAATGGCGCCATCGATAAACAGTTAGATAAAACAAAAACTGAAACTTTGAGTGATGCAATTATAAAAAAGAAAGAAGATGGTTCTCAGAAAAATCCATCAAGTATGGAAAAAATCTGTGCCATTAACAACTACAATAGCCTATGTTTAAAATTCAAAAGGAAAGAGGATTTCAATTCGTGCTATTATCCTATTCTAACCTCCTTGTCTATTACCTATAACAGCAGCATATTCGTGGATGCCAACTCTCATTTTCTAATGTCGCTAGATACACTTGCAAAAGTAGCTAAATTCAAACAGAATTTTGTTAAATGTAGCAGCTAAAATTTTTAAAAAAGTATAATCTATATTCCATAATAGGTGTTGTTACTCATCATTTTTTAAACTAAATCTTCATAAAAATATAAATTATGTTGCAATTTTTCTGCGGACCATCAAGAAGTCTTCACGGACGACCGCTGTTCTGGATTACATCTTTTTTTTCTTCCCCCCTTTTAGCAACAAAAAAGGGGGGAAAGAATAAATAATATCAAATCAGAGTCTACCAATCTAACTAATCAAAGAGAAGGAGAGGTTTTTTTTTATTTTTTTAAATGAAAGTTCAAGTCAACTAGTGATGGTGATTTTAGACATTGGAAGCCAGAGAAGATAAATTTCAAAACAGGATACAAAAAACCATGGGTTTGAAGAATATTGGAAAGGAAAAAATAATATTAGCTCAGTTCATGATAGACACATGATAAAGTTATACAGTCATGATGAAAACTTTAAATTGGTTATGGAAGTCAATCATCAGGAGAATATTTGCTTGGGCATACCTAGAATTAATGATTATAACATTTTACAAGAACTCAAGGGAATGAATACATTTGTAATCGATTCTTGAATACAAAGCTTTGTTCTTTCAAAAAAGATGATAATGAAATTCATATTTTATTTGGCTCTGACATTGTGGGAAAACTGTTGTGTAGTAATAAAAAACAACATTCTGACAGACTCAAGGCAGTAAAAATGCATTTTAGGAAAACATAAATACAAATCTGGCTTTGAACCAAAAAGTTCAATATTGGTGAACTCTTTACTTACGAATCTTGAAAAAATATCAGATTTATGGAAACTGGATTCGTTTCGCAGAAAAGATCTCAGTAAAAAGTAAACAAAAGTAGAATTACAAGATCTTGCTTTGAAGTATTTTGAAAACTCGAGATCTAGAAATGAAGAAGGCAGATGCTCATTCACATTCCATGGATATAATACCAAGCAAAATTTGGAGATAGTATTCGGCTGAAAAAATATTGAAGAGCACTTAAGATCTTTAGAACTGTAGGAAAACTCACTGATTATGAACAGCTGTTCGATGAATGGAAAAATGAAGCCATTATTAAAAAGGTCAACTCAAATTAATCTAGTAAAACTGGGAAATTTTACTACTTGCCCCATCACCTGGTGTTTGAAGAAAATTCTACAAATAAAATTTGCTCAGTTTTTGATGGGTCTGCTCAACAAAGAACTTTACGTTCTCTTAATGATTGTGTAAAAAAGGGCTCCAATCTCACCGAAATGATACCTGCAATTTTGAATCCCTTCAGATTAGGAAAAATAGAGGTCATATTGGACATTCAAAACATCTTTTTGCAAACTGCTATAAAGAAAATGATAAGAATGAATTTAGGAGATGATAATAAAGAATTGAGTTTCGTCCATTATACTTTCATTCAAACATAAAGTTATGAAAGCTCTCATTATTTATACACAAGAAAATTTAGGACATGCTGGAATTCAGATGCTTATGAGCCCTCCTAGAGAGAATTATTCAAATCTAAAAACTAGAAAAATTGTTAAAAAAGTAATCAGGCCTTGTATCATCTGCAATAGGTTTAAGGCGAAACCTATAATTGTATCAGAATGATTTACCACAAGATCGTAGAAGAGATGCCATAATTTTTTTAATCTTTGAGTGGATCTTGCAGGCTGCCTCATTCTCAAGGGAAAAAAAAAGGCTTAGATTTTGACCTTGACTTGTGCAATCTACCATGAAGTGCATCTCGAATTGTTAACCTCAATCTTAACTCGAAATGTTCTTGTTAGCTTGGAGAGATTTATAGCACACAAAGGAAGACTTCAAAGGCTCTGTTCAGATGGTGGAATAAATGTCACAGAGGTTTAGTCATATGGCATAACATACAGGATTTCTGTTCACACCTGCCAGACAAGGTCTAAGCCACAGCCAGTTAGAAAAGTTAAATTTGCACATATATTGGATGTGTCTACGGCTTTCCTGCACTGTTCTCCCACTCAACACATTTCGCACGTTTGCTCTGGTTGATCGTCTCTTATACCAACACAGCATAGAGTTGAAAACTTCGAACATTATACCAAAATCCTTAAACCAGTTTTTGTGACGTAGCAAGGTTTTGTTACCTAACAATAAAGATTGGCTTTAACCAGTTATGACACGGAGCCTTAGAGAAAAGGGATTTAGAAAGAACTGAAGAACATATGGGAACTAAATCCAATTATGTGGATTTTCATATCTCGTAACACCCCTTGGTGGCAAGGTTTTTGGAAAAGGCTGATTGGGCTTATAAAGACAGTTTTGAGAAAAACTTTAGCAAAATGTCTTTAGGTAAAATTTTATTAAATCATGAAGAAATTAATGACATTCTACACGACTGAGAAAGCTTGATCAATTCAAAACCACTGACTTTCTTTCAGATAATCGCAAAGACTTCGAACCTCGAATCCTGCAATGTTCTTACAAGACATTAGAAAAGTCAGTGTAACTGAGTTTGATAGCATGAAGAAAAAAATTTGCGTATCCTATTAGAGTGAAAAGGGATCTAAGAAAGCATTTTAGAGTATTTAGGGTACTGAGAGTAGTGTATAAAGTAAAAAAGAATCATGCCAAAAGACTGAATATGAAATTAGGGTGAATAGTGAAACTCTATGAAAATATTTAATTACTAATTATTACAAAATTTGGCTAAAATTTTTTAATTATTATATACATTATATGTTTATAATTTTAGTGCAGATCACATATCTCATGATAAAGGAACATGAATAAAAATCTCACATTTTTTTTAATTCACAGTAAAAAAAAGGACTGAAATAGATAACAATGAGATGTAAACAAACCTTTCTAAGTTTCTCTCTCTCGTCTTCATGGGATTCAGACAAATTTGCATAACTAATACGTAGACTTTCCCGAAACATCAACTCCCTAGTTTTCATCTCAGAACGCATTCTTTTTGGCCACTGACGTTTTTCTACAGCCTGTTGCTTCAACATTTCTTCTTCTTTAGCATCATTCATGCGACGTATCTGTTCTAACTCCTGTAGTTCAGCAAAAATTAAATGATAATAAAGAATATATTAAGCTTCTTAAACCTAGAATATAGTTACGAAAAAATATATCACAATAAAAAAATGCAAGCTAACATTTAAACAAAGTATAGCATATTTAAACATTCTCAAACTACTGCATACGATGAAGATGACTGTGCTAGACTATCTTTTGAAATACACAGCACATTTGTGAAATTAGTATAAATCTAACATTGATCTAATTTTTCAATACCCACCGGAATATGAATTGAGCTTGATAAACTAATCCTAAACAATCTCAAGTCCATACCCATTACTTACTTATTTTTCATATACTTTGGAAAAAAAGAAAGGAAAAGAGATCTGAAATGTTTCAGATTTTAAATAACGTCCAAAGGGCCATTTTTTTAACATTTTGTGTGTTACATTTATTTATTAAATATCATATTCTTTGCACTTAAACCATAAAATTCAGTTCAACAGCAATATCGCAAAATAGTTTTAAAATGAGCATATCTTTAGAATTTTCGATACAGAGAATTGCGCGCTGGAGATACGAATGTTTTTTCTGTACAACATTGCCATTGCTCACTTTGAAAATCTTTGAATTTGGTTTGTTAATCAAAAATTCCTTAAGTTTTATAAAATAGGAAATCAATAATAAAACAAATTTCAAATTTGGTCTTCCATATGCCCATATTCTTGGGAGGATTACGTCATTAAAAATTTGATGGCTCTATGTACCATTGTTTTATCACAATGCAAGAAATATACATACATTTATGCAGATTTTTCATTATTTAATTTCTTCAAATATAATGCAGGACTCTAACAATTGGTGGCAACAACTTGGAAAGTGATTCGCCATTTATAGTGAATCGACGCAAAATCGCAAAACGAAAACAATAGTCCTTTCAGGGACAAAGCACCTTTGGACTAAAAACTGATTTCCGAACCAAAGCCATATATTTCAAATCTCAATCACAGTTTATTTGTTTCACATATGTTTTCTACTCCATGTGGTATTAGTAGATACAGTTGCTACACAAAAATTTTATGGCTAAATGCCAGTTGTGATCATCCATCAGTAAAAACAATTAAAAATGGTCTACTTATTTCATAAAAAGGGAAGGTTTGAGAGTCACACTTTTTTTTTTTTTTTAGCTGCTCTAAATCTAAATTGGAAGGTGTTTGGTAAAGTCATCTATCAATAGTGATGCTCACACATTTACAAGCAACCAAAGATGCATTCATTTTGCAGCTGCTATTTTTCATTTGGCTTGCCCATCTGGACATGAGATAAATAAGAAAAAAGCAGGAATATTTAAAAGTTGATCTATAAACATGAACATGATGAAATTTATATCTTACTATTTAGCGACTTTTAAAACTAACTTAAATTTATGATTTTGCAATAACAGCATTACACAGTCAAATACTTCATAAAAAATGAATAAGATATATTTAACATGAAATGCATCAAAACATTTTATTTAACATTTAAACTAACCTTTTCATGCCTCACCAACATCTGATGTCTTTGAAGGAAAAATAAGTCTTTTAACTGTCGCTTAGCTAACTGATGCTTCTCATGTAAATGCCTTTCTTCAAGTTCCCAAATTGCAGCTTCACGAGCTAGAATATGAAACATAGTATACTTTGGAAAGCTCTCCTCAGTAGTGTTTTAAAAAAAGAAAAATTCATGAAAAACATTAATACTTGTTTATATTATTTCATAACATTATCATTAGCTTGCAGTAAGTAATTCATAGTATAAGTAATATATTAATGTTCTTTGAAATAAAGTGAAAGTATATATTTAATTTTTCTCTCTAGTATTTTTTAAATTTAAGTGATTGTAAAGCATATAAAAATATGTATTATATTAAAAATCATGCACTGTTTAAATTAAAAGCAAATCACATTTTATCATAAATGAGATTTTTTTAATCAACAATTATGGAATGTTACAGAAATCTGAAACAATATTCATTATAAAGTAAAGTACCGGGTCAGTCCATAAATTTGTGCGTATTTTTTGGTATATTTTTAAATAATATAAAAAAAAAAAAAAAAAAAAAAAAAACACAATTTAACATTTTAATCAATTATATATTTTCCTCCATTATCTATAATGTCTCACCATCTTACAGGCAGTTTTTTTATGCCATTGCTGTAGAAAGACTCTGGTTTTGATGCAAAAAAACTTTAAAGTTCATTGTGTACACCGCATTTCGAATTTAATTTTTTTCCCAGTAAAAAATTTTTCAAGGCACAAAATAAGTGAAAATCACTTGGGGCAATATCTGGGGAGTAAGCAGGAAGTGGCCAAAGCTCCCAATTAAATACATTAATTTTTTGCAGCGTTGTTCGAGCCGTATGCGGTCTAGTATTATCATGATAAAACAACACTTTCTTGATATTCACTAATCATGCATATTTTTTTTTATCAATTCTGAGTTTAGACGGCAAAGTTGTTCACTATAAACTTTTGAATTAAAGTTTGATTTGGTTCTAACAGTTCAAAATAAATTACACCATACATATACCACCAAACACTTAAAAGAATCTTTTGGGGATATAAAGACACCTTTGCTGTTGGAATCGGCTGCTTATATGTCCACATTCTTTTTCTTGTGACGTTATGATAAATAATCCATTTTTCGTCACCTGTTACCAAACCATCTAAAAATAGCTCTCTTTCGAAGCGTGATAAAAAGGAAGTGCAGATGTTTATTCGATGCTGGCAATTGGATTCGTATAGCTCATACGGTACCCACTTTCCAAGCTTGGATACTTTCCCAATCTTCTTTAAATGACGAAAAACTGTTCCATGAGATGAATTCATCCTTTCTGTGATCTGATTCACTGTTAATTGCGGCTCTGACTCCACAAGATTTCGAAGAATGTCATCATCAAAATTAACGGGATGTCCTGAACAGGGTTCATCATCAATGCTGCTTTTTCCAACTTAAAATATTTTTAACCATTTCTGGGCAGTCCTTACACTAATAGTGTGTTCACCATGTACACTATTAATTTTTATCACTGCAGACGTGGCAGATTCACACACGAAAATAAAAAATGTAGCACAGCACATTTGTACTGATTATCTATATTCATCTTCTATGAGTACTAAAATGTGTTCGATATTTACGAAAGTTGGTGATGAAGTGAGTAACAATGTCAAACGATGACAAGTTTCAACAGGTTCAAAATTGTATTGTTTTTAGTAAATGCATCATAGTGAATTCCATGCATACTCTTAATGCGTAAAAACTTATGGACTGACTAAAAACATTATTCTAGAATTGGACTTGGCCCATTTTTATTGAATACTAACTCTTGATTTTGGTTAATATGCTAATAATCAAATCAAATTAATAAGTTTCAATAAAAGAAAGTATAGCAGAAAAATAGTTGTCTGACTTTACACTTTAAATGATGAATTTTATAATCTTATTTTTTCAATTTCATTCAAAATTTTGTTTTACACATAATGAGTGAAATGTGATTTAACTATTGAAAAATAAATAAGCCATCATGGCATAACTATTAACTAGACTAAAACTTTACAGGTTATGAGTTTTAACTAAAAGGAACTGACTAATACTCTGAAAAAATAATCAAAAGTTTGAGACAATAGATATTTTTTTCTGACTCCCAAAGCCTTGGTATGAGGTCAAATTTTCATTACTAAAATAAAAACATATTAAATAATAATATAAACGTCAAAGAAAAATAACTAAATAAAATACAGATATTTTGAGGCTGAAAATTAAGTAATTACATTTGCTTTCATTTACAAAAATCTGAAAAATTAATAATTAATGTTTTGTAAAATACCTCGAAGAAGCTGCTGCTTTTGTTGTAAAAATTGTCGTTCTAGGAGTGCTATTTTTTCTCTGTGGCCATCTGCTAATCTTTTCATAGCCAAATCATGGTTTTCATTCAGACGTTCCACGAAAATTCTCTCCTAAAGTGCAACAGAATTTCATTATACAGTTTCTGAAGAATTACTTTCCAACCAGATGAAATACAGTCAAAAGTCTTTAATCCGGACTCGTCGAGACTTTGGTGATTCCGGATTATTGGTTTTTCCGGATTATAGATCATCAGTTTAAATCTGGTAAGATGGCATGCAAAAATTATAAAATTAAAAATATGAAACCCTAATTTATGAAATAAAGAGCAATTATACTCTAAAGGGTATCAAAATTTACAAAAAAAACTTAATATTTATTTGTTTACTTTATTAAACATTTCTTTCAACGCGCGCATACGTAAAGCATACATTACGCATAGTCAAAATTAGAAAATTGCAACCAGAAAACTATTTGATGTGTATTCGTGATATTTATAATGACGAGAATTTTGATTTAAATCATATCAAAGACGGAGTACATCGAGATGAAATACTACATTTAGTAAGGAATTATAAGCCAAATAAAATAAAAACATCTGCCCTGAAGATAAGGATAGTGCTGACAGACCAACTTCCAGTCCCCCCCCCACAGAATGGTTAGAGAAACAAAGGATATGCCTTTATGCATTTTTTGCAGCAATTCCACTTTTTATTTGATGGACATCGAAACATGCTTTCGCTTTGTAGATCATTTGGCAGCTCCAGAATCGGAAATTCTTTTTGCCATAATCGAAAGTTCAAGCTTACTTTTATAAATTGCTCTAACAGTCTGCAAAAAAATAATAAGCCGGATCCAATTAGAAGATTAAGGAACAACGCAATCTGCAACATTAATTGAAATAGATAATTAGATCATTTTAGCTTAGCTTATACCGTTTGTTATACATTAAACGTGCATGCGTAAATGCATTGTGCTTTTACGCATGCGCAGAAAGCTTGTAGCTTTGAGGTCTGGATTATAGATCATTCCGGATTATGGACATCCGGATTAAAGACTTTTGACTGTATAACATAAAATAAGAGTATTAACATGTTCACTTTGAAATTAAGTTCATTCTGAATGCTTTGTAGAGTATATTAGTTTTATACATAAAACTTGCACTATTTAATATACATTGGTGTGCAAAAATTAAGGACCAAGTTAAAAAATTAACTCATCAGCAGAATGAAGAGGTAGAGCTGACTGAAAGACCAATCACGAGATCGACTACTGTCAGGAATGGCATCACTAGAGCATATATGTAGCTAGATGTAATGGGGAAGTCTCGCACGGATATAAAGATCATTGACAGTGTGAGCTCAGCATATAAGGGAAGCTATTGCATGGCATATATTAGTTTACATGGCGTCGAGTTGCTGCCTCAGTGTGAAATGTCAAACAATCTGTAAGATGACATCTGGATAATTTTACCCAAGGTCGAATAACTGAAAAGACTGAGGAAGATCGAAGTGTGACAAGTGTAGCTGTGGAGCTCGAGATTGATCACAGAATCATTTCACAAATTTGGAAAGCATTTCAAACTAGAGGAACAACTGTTCAGCAGTGGTCGCCCATGAGCAAGCACGGGAGTGGATGACCAGTATATTGCCCCACAGGCAAGAAGGTGACAGACAGCAAGAGAAATCTAAGATACATGGAATAGGTGACTAGATTACCGATATTGCATTTTACCATGGCTACACAATGCGGGTCTGTTCGCATGACGACCTGTACGGTGTATACCATTCTGCTCATTGAAGAAGGCAACCAGAATTGGACAGATAATTAATGAGGTCAAGTACTCTTTACGGATGAGAACAGATTTAGACTGAGTAGCTATTCTAGACACATATACATTTGGAGAGAGTGGGGGAACATGCAATAACTCCTCCAATATCATCAAAAGGGCTAGTTCAGAGGTTGCAGAGTTCTCGTTTGGGAAGGCATCATGCTTGGTAGCCATCTCGACTTTGACATCTTCTCGGGCCTGTTATTGTAGCAAGGTTCTCTTTCTTTACATGTGTCTTTCCAGATGTACTATGCGTCCTCAGTTCCTCTTCGTGGATGACAATGCTCTTCCTCATCACACAACTGTTGTCAAAGAACCCTTGGAGAGTGAGGATATTGAATGCATGTATTGGCTGACACAGTCTCCAGATATAAAGCATATTAAGAATGTATGAGACTTTCTATGGAGGTATGTGGCAGCATGCAACTTATCAGCAGTAACAATTCTGGAGCTGCAACTTGTGCTACAAGACGAATGGGCAGCATTTCCTCAACAACTCATTGACAACCTCATACTCAGCATGGACAGACAATGTGAAACCTGCCCAGCACTCAGATCATATCCCCTATTAAAGGCTAGTTGTTTCTTGCAGAACACTTGTCAGATGGATGTTTTGGCCTTCTGTCACATTGTGCTCCATGCTACTTTTTCAATAAAGTCCTTTTAATAAAGAAAAACTTCCCAAAAAAGAAATCAAAAGGATATTTTGATTTGAGTTTTGCTAACATTACCCATGTTCTTATGTCTTGGGGCTCTTATGGTATTATTTGTGTTGATTTAGAAAGATTTTGCACAGTGCTATACTGAAAAAAAAAAGTCTCATCCTTAGTTTTTGCACACCAGTGTAAGCAAAAATATACTGACTGATTATAATATCTGAGCAAATTTCAAAATTGCATCTCAATTTTTTTCCATCATGTTTACATTAACAATTAATATTTACACTTGTAAATTTTGTGCCCTTTCTCATTTTTTTTTTTACCTGACAAAAGTGCCTCCGTCACTCTCTTGGTGTGATTCCAAGCATAAGATTGTACTGAAATCATATAACCTCAAGAAAAAAATACAGCAGAGCTGCTTTAAACAATATTGTTTTAGCAAAAATTACAAATATAAACACTATCTAACTATTTACAAAAATCTATTTTCATATTATGTTGAAATTTCAGCATAATATACCTGTCACTATACTTGAAGTATAGTGTATTATAAAGTATAGTGACAGGTATACAGCATAATATACCTGTCACTATACTTTATAATACACTATACTTGAAGAATTCAGAAGCATACAAAATATCAGATTACAAGTAAAAATAATTTGCTGTTGAAAGTTGCAGTTTTTAATTTAGTCACAAAAGAAAATCACACAGACTTTTTCAACAACCATTGAAAACCATCGAGTGATTAAAAACCTGGATACTGACATTATAACAAAAGTCATACTGAAAATATTAAAAATATATTATTGGTAAAATGCTGAATTAGAAAAGAATCATATTTTTTGGTTTATCCAAGTACACATGCCTTTAAATTCACAGCAAAAACATTGCCACAGAATAAGACTGGATTATCTGAATACAACACAGCACTCTGGGCCTATCTGCCAAGGATGCTTTAGTGAAAGATTTTCTAAGAGAAACAAATCCATATTTTCATTATACATGATAAAAACAATGAAAAGATCATGCATCTAGCTTGCTCTACTTACAAGAATCAAAGACAGAGCAAACTGCCAGTAATATTTAGCCACTCGGCCAATATCTGGTAGTGATAAAAATAAAAATTGAAAATATGCCAAGTGATGCTTGCAACACATCCTAATGTATAACCAAATACTAAGTATAAAAAGATATGAAAGTGTGCTAACCCTTTCAATGTGATCCAGTTCCATTTGTTCTCGACGAACCCTAAAAACATCTTTTCGTTTGTCTTTTGGTAATGTATCAGTCTCTTGCTTTAGAAATTTGAATTCATTTTTTAAAGATTCGCGGAAAGCTTTGATTTCACGCTCCTAAAAAAGAATACAATAAATTTTATAATAATCGCATCATTTACAAATAAATAATTTAACAGCATTTACATTTAAAAGAAATTTGAGTAATTTTCACATAAAATTTGATATAAAGCAAAAAATAAATAATGAAATAATGATAATTTTTTTCACTATATCTTAAATGTAACAAATCTGATGCGGTCATCACATGACTTCCTTATATGGCCTATTTAACTATACACATATTTTACTGGATTTCATTTAAACTTATTTAATCAAATTTCATTAGAGATATACTTCTCATTCAATTAATTCAGTTCTCACTTTGCAAAAAGGCAAAAATACATAAAAACTCAAAACATCTTTATTAAAAATTGTAAAATGCACACAAATACCAAATACAGTTAAAAAACAATTAAAAAAATTTACACTTATAATTATTCCACGGAAAAACAAGAAATTTGGCCAGCAGGCTGGAAGACAGATTTTTTGGTGCACAAAATTGAAAATTTACTTTTGGTCCCATTCTGCAGAAAGGCACTGAAGTTGATGCAAAAACTGACTTAATTTACTAATCTATTAAGATATTCAAATGTAAACAAATGGCGGCTTTGTTATGCTTAGTAGCATTTAAACAACTTTTAAATTATTGATAATTCTAGAGATATTGCCTGCAGATTAACTAAAGGCATAAAAACCTTAAACAGAACATAACAACATAATTCAATCACTATTAAAGCAAAAAATGCATAATTTACCAACATATAAAAATAAAAAAGCTGAGCTAACAAAGCTAGGTAGCACAGTGGGTATATGTATACTTACATTTTGGTGCAGCCTGATACAAACAAAAATGGAGGTGTATAACTACGTGTTACATTAGTCTTAAATTCATTCTACAATGTGTTTTGGGGGAAAAAGTCCTTTATTCTGTCCAGTTGTACAAATGACATGCAAAAACATCCTTCAAATGGATTGAAGAGCGATCAAAATTGAATGTTTTCATTGAAGTATGATACCAGAAATTTTTGTGATTACAATACTTCCTTTACTTCACACAAGGAAATAAATAAATCAAGCACTTTTTACCATTCAATTAATCACTTTCAAAAATAGTATTAAAAACTTAAGTATGTTTTATGAGAAACTGGAAAAGTAAATAGAAAAGAATATTTTGCAGTTAGCTGCAAATAAATACAGTTTAAGGAAATAAACATAGCTTAAAACTGTACTTTTAAAATTGGTATTTAATAAACTAAAGGAACAATAATTGTGATATGTGAGAAAATAAATTATTGGAGTTAGTCGATGGAAGGCTATCAGGGTTTATAGCCACATTTTAGTTAAAAAAATAAGCACCTATAAGCACTTTTCAAGCACATTTTAAGACAAAAAATAAGCACCTGTCTAATTACATTATACACAACTGCATAACCTTAAAAATTAGACTCGTAATTTAAAATATGAGAAATGCAGTTTTTATTAAGAGAGAATAAGCATTACCTCAACCATGGAAAATAATTACTTTAAATTTTAAATAACAGTCCAATTCACAGAACTAGTTTACAATGAGAGGGGGAAAAAACTATGCAGAACTAAACTATATTTACAAGATTTAATGATGAAATTTCAGTTCAATATAGAGGAAAATAAAAAATAATAAGGCATATTTATTGTATTTGCTTGGAACCTTAATAATAAACACAATTTATTTTTCCACTCATATTAATATTTAATAAATTAAATCTAAATTCTGAACATTTTCTAAATTTTCATCGTTATATCAGTTTTCTCATTAACAGATATTGCAAGCAAAGTAATTTAAGTAAAAAAAGAGGAACATTTCTGAAATCAGAAGACAGAAATTTGCTTCATGCAGTCGTCCTTTAACAGTAAAAGCTTAAATACCTGCATACTTGAAAATTGGCGAATATTCCGACAGTGGTGCGTAACTTGAAAAAGAGGAGCGGAGGGGGGGGATAGACTGTAGACCTTCTTTAGATTTTTCCACTAAATAAATGCTTTTGACATTTCGATATGTGCAACATATAAAAACAAACCAACGGAACAGAAAAATATTCTGCTTAAGCAAACACAGTAAAACTCTTTTAAGTGTTCATAAACAAATCTCGCACCAAACATCAAAATTAATTATCTCTGCAAAATATAACAAACGTTAGTGCGCAATACGTGCGCTGTAATTCTTCCCTACATGATATTACGCAATCGGATTCAACAGCTGCCGATATTGGGAGAATAAAGAACTAAATAAAGGAAAAGAAAGAGACTTACCAATCTGCGGTGTTTTTCATTCTAATTTTCAACAGACTGCATTAAATTTCCGGAATAGAATCATTCTTCGCTTGGGTTGGTAGACTGCAGAACTTTTAGTCCCATTCAATCCAGATTGGAAAGTGACCAAAAAAAAAAAGTCCTTTGCTTGTTTTGCAGTGAACTGTAACAGTTTCAATATTCGAGATTTTGCAGAGAAAGGGGAGAACCTCCCAACCTTCGTACTGTATAATGTATTGGTCAAAAAAAAATGAAATTATTTTGACTATTCGATTACTTTCCCTTTATTTAAGCCATTCCGAATATTATTCCTTAGAAAGCTAATCTGTGTTAAAAGACAACCATTTTTGGAAGTTTACTATACTTCAGCAGTTACTGCAACTATGTTGTTATAAACATTCATACATATACTCATAATATAAGCATAATGATCATAATAAACACGAATATGAACTGATCAAGCGGAACGAGAGTGCAAATTATTAAGATCTTGATAGAAATTCAAACGTGTGTAGTATCTGGGTGGGAGGAAAAGAATGCCGAATGTACGGGAATTTTTACTGCTTTCGCAATTCTTTGACAAACAGAATGACGGGCACCTGTCTATACTCTCCGCCCACACCAAAGGTTATGTTAATGCAGAGAAAGGGGGAAAAGCTATTTCCATGAGTATGATTCACCATCTGACATTCCATATTAGGAAGAAAAGTTGTTTATTTAGTTTCTGCTTTGGTACCGGGAAAAATTAAGCGTTCATTAAAAAAAAAAAAAGCAATAAAAGCAAAAAATAAGCACTAAAAACAATAAATAAGGGCTTTAAAAAAAAGTAAGCATCTATAAGGGCCTTTATATTTTATTTTCAAATATAAGGGCTTACAAGCTCTTATAAGGACCGCTACGAACCCTGGCTATTGCGCTGAATGGGGTCAAGTGGAGGAAACTTGGAGAGACAGCCTTGGCCTGTAATAGGCAGCAGAGATTATGAAGAAGAAGAAGAGAAAATAAATTACAGTCAAAAGTCATTAATTCGGACACCCATAATCCGGACCTCAAAGCTACAAACTTTCTGCGCATGCATCAACGCATAATGCGTTGACGCATGCGCATAGGCGTTTACACATGCGCGTAATACCTTTAATGTATAACGGACAGTATAAGCTAAGCTAAAATTATCTAATTATCTGTTTCAGTTAATGTTGCAGATTGCGTTGTTCCTTAATCTTCGAATTGGATCCGGCTTATTATTTTTTGCAGACTGTTAGAGCAATTTTATAAAAGTAAGCTTGAACTTTCGATTATGTCAAATAGAATTTCCGATGCTGGAGCTGCCAAAGGATCTACAAAGCGAAAGTATGTTTCGATGTCCATCAAACAAAAAGTGGAATTGCTGCAAAAAATTGATAATGGCATATCCTTTGTTTCTCTAACCATTGTGAAATCCGTTTATCAATGCTGGAAGTTGATCTGTCAGCACTATCCTTATCTTCAGGGCAAATGTTTTTATTTTATTTGGCTTATAATTTTCTTACTAAACGTAGCATTTCATCTCGATGTACTCCGTCTTCAATATGATTTAAATCAAATTCCTCGTCATTATAATTCGCTTCCAATAGTGAAGAAGTTGTTGAAAACGAAAAAATTTCGATTGACAAATTAGTCGGTATTCTCGACACAGCAATTATAGAACTTGAACAGCAGAACTTTGTAACTGAACAAGAAATTATGTCTGTTTATAGAATTAAAGAGAAAGTATTATCACATAAAACAAAGCAACTTAAACAACTTGCATTGAAAGAAATGTTTAATAAAGTAAACAAATAAATATTAAGCCTTTTTTTTTGTAAATTTTCATACCCTTTAGATCATAATTGTTCTTTATTTCATAAATTACGGTTTCATATTTTTAATTTTACAATTTCTGCGTGCCATCTTACCAGATTTAAACTGATGATCTATAATTCGGAAAAATTGAAAATCCGGAAGTGCCGAAGTTCCGACGAGTCCAGATTAAAGACTTTTGACTGTATATTGCATGAAAGAAATAAATGAAAAAGCTTTAAAAAATGTACCTGATCAGCCCGTATTTTTTTAGAAGCAAACTTCAAATCTAAATCTTGCTGCTGTTCTGCTTTTTCAACTAATTGCTTCTGTTGTCTGTTTAAGGCTTCCAAGTCATTATCATAATTTCTTACCAGCAGCTAACATGAAAAAAGTAATTTTAATATGTTAGAGGAATATATAAAAATTTAAAATGCAAAGTATTCAATATGCATATAATAAATATCCCCCTTCCCAGTAAGAACAACAAAAAACCTTCTACAAATTCTGAATGAATTTCAGGAATTTCTGCTTTGTTTTTTATAATATCCTAAAAAGCATGTTTAAAAAAGACACACATTTTAAATGAATGATTATTAATTTTAGAACAAATAAAATAATTATTAATATACAACATACAGGGGTTGGACAAAAATATGGAAACACCTTTAAAAAAACATGTTTCTTTGCTTAATATGGTGTAGGAAACCCGTTGGCATCCAAAACAGCTTGCAGTCTTCTCGGAATGGATAAATACAGTTCCTGTATGTTTGCCAAGGGAATATTATACCATTCTTCCTGCAAAACGGTGGCAAGTTCAGATAACGATGTTGGCGGTGGATAACAAGAACGCACTTTCCGTTCCAATGTAGACCACAAAGGTTCGATAATATTCAGGTCTGGTGACTGTGGTGGCCAGGGGAGATGGGACAACTCATCCTCGTGCTCAGAAAACCAGTCCTGGACAATGTGAGCTGTGTGAACAGGGGCTTTGTCGTCTTGGAAGACACCATCACCATCGGGGAACAAAGTTTGTACCATGGGATGAACTTGATCGGCCAAAATGTTCACATAAGTCTTGGCAGTCATGTGCCCTGACACAGTTATCATGGGGCTAGCAGAGAACCACGATATGGCTGCCCAAACCATAACAGAACCCCCGCCATGTTTCACTCTTGGCAACAAGCAGTCTGTATTATAGGCTTGAGATGGCGTTCTCCAGACGTAAACTAGGCCAGAAGTGGGAAACAATGTGAAAGAAGACTCGTCAGACCATATTACTCGCTTCCACTGCTCTATAGTCCAGGCTTTATGACTTAAACACCACCTTTTCCTGTTACGGGCATTAGCATCACTGATGAGTGGCTTCTCAATTGCAGCACGGCCAGCAATTCCCTGTTTATGAAGCTCCCTTCTAATTGTTTTGGTACTCACAGGGTTCGGTAACACAACATTCATTTCAGCAGTAACTTTTGCAGCTGTGGTCTTCTTATTTTTCGTCACAATTGCCCTTAATGATCGTCTGTCACGATCACTCAGGACACACTTTCGTCCGCGCTGTGATTTAGCAGATGATGTTTTTCCGCTTTTCAAATATGCGGAATAAATCTTCGATACAGTACCTCTTGAAACACTAAACACCTCGGCTACCTTGCTTACGGAAGCACCTACCATACGTGCTCCAACAATTTGCCCACGTTCGAAGTCTGTTAACTCTGACATAATGCAATGACAACCTCACATAACAGTACTCCGACAACAACTGAACTGTTTAGAACATTTACGATGTTGTATAGGTGGCGTCAGTAGTCAAAAACGCCAGCGCCACCTTCATATTTCATTAAAATCAATCTTTCTTTTCAAACATGCATTTCACAAGGTGTTTCCATATTTTTGTCCATCCACTGTATGTTACTTAAGTAAAAAGTCATTTGTAAATACTGTTTGAAATTTCATGCGCATGTGAGAAAGAGTTACACACAAGATCCTGGCATTCCTTGTGCCATATCCAATGCAAACATGCATTCACATCATCTAACAACATACTTTATAGCATGAGGTAAAATATTTTAAGAAAATTAACAGTTCTTAACAGCAAGAAACATGAAAAGATATTTGTTGCTAAGTATATGGCTACAATACGAGTGAAATGAAAAATATCAAAATGGGTAAAATTGTTTAAGAAAATTGAGACACTGATGGAGAAATGAAAATGACCGTGAATAGCTGGCTATCATTACAGGTAGCAGAGTTCTGAGAGGAGGTATGCACACATTCATTATTAACTATGATAAATGTCTAAACCAACAAAGAAATTATGCAGAAAAATAATAGAACTGTATGTTATTTAATTTTTATTGCAAAAGGGACCTTACTTAAAAAATAAATTTTGTACAATATTTACAGGCTTTAGCTAAACACCATACATAAATTTTCAGGGGTGAGGAAATTACTATTTTATAAAATAATTTATTCACTTGTTAAATATATATGATATCCGTTAGTTCAACACAGCCACCAGAGGGCATCACCTACGTGCCTGCAGCGAGAGCGAGGCGAAAGACAATGATGTCAGATAGATGTTGATTCCACGCAAAGGTGGTAACAAAAAAACTCTGTTAAAATAGCAAGCGCGAGTAGGCATTGTGTAGCTATTTTAAATACTTAAAGTCATGCAGAACTGTATTTGTATCTACCAAGCGCGAGAATGTGCAATGGTTCTGTTATTTTAATTCAAATCTGTAGCTATTCTATTATCAATTATTATCCATTAAATGTTTTGTGGTGTGGAAGTGTTATTTTTTTAAGGATATCATCTTCAACTCCTCCATTCACAGAAAATCTGCGGGCTCAGTCAGATCAAGCAAGGTAAAGTAGCATTTTATACCAATTTACTATAATCATGAGTTTATTAAATAATATCAGAAAACAAGACTTAAAAATAATCGCAGAAGACTATGTTCAAGAAAGTGTGTGAGTGTGTCATTATGGCAAAGCCTCAAGGGCTATCTGCTTAAGGGGAGGAATGCCTTCGTGGAGGACTTTCTAAGGGAAACTGGCTCGTATACACGTTACACATGGGGAAACCACGAAAACGCCCATGCAGCAGCCCGTTCGCGGGATTAAAACCACGGACTGAACTACCAGTGTTCAACAACTTTACCGCTCGGCCGCGGGTGGAATCTTCAAGAAAGATTTAACCTCTAAAGTGGCGAGATGGGCGTTACTTCTAGAAGAATTTGACTATGAAATTGTTCACAGATCTGGGCAGCAAATGAAGCACGCAGATGCGTTAAGCAGAAACGCTGTCATGATGGTTACCTATTCTCAGGGACAAGTTACAGCCAAAATTGCAGTTGTGCAAAAAAGTGATGAGCGTCTCCAGTTGCTTAGTCAAACAAGCACTAAAGAAAGATTTCCTAGTAAAGAATGGTGTATTATACAAGTTCGACAGTGGTCGCGAGTTATTTTTGGTACCGGAAGCATTGGAGCTAGAAATCATACATAGTACTCATTACAAGGGACACTTCGCAGTGTCTAAACTGGAAGATCTGCTGAAAATGGACTTTTATATTCCTAACCTTACAAAGTGAGTCGAACAAGTTATCTCAAATTGCAAAGAGTGTATTTTGTGTGACAGAGAACGAGATAAGGGCGAAGGGTTGCTGAATCCCATACCAAAAGATAGTAATAGAGCATTTTTCATATTGATTTTATAGGACCATTGCTTCCGACAAATAAGAACTCCAATCATACCTTGACCGTGGATGATGCATTTACAAAGTTCATGTAGCTCTATCTAGTAAAGTCTACATCAGCTCAAGAGGCATTGCAGAAGCTGAAACTGCAACAAATAATTTTTGGTAATCCTTTGAGAATAAGCGATGCAGATTTTACCTCTAAAGATTTTGAAGATTACTGTAGTCAAGAGAAGATCCAGCACATATTACAACTAGGCATTCCTAGAGGGAATGGACAAGTGGAAAAAATTCATCACATTCTGATTCCAGTTCTATCCAAATTATCCATAGATGATCTTACCAAGTGGTACAAATATGTTGGAGATGTACAATGGATCTTGAACAACACTAAGAGCAGAAGCACAAAGAGCTCTGCATTTGAGCTCCTCACTGGTATTAAAATGAGAAACCGAGAGGACTTAAAGATTATGAAAATTCTCGAAGAAGAAGAAACAAATATTATGATGAAAGATAGAGAAGATATGAGACAGGAAGCAAGGGAAAACATCCTAAAAATTCAGGAAGAGAATAGAAAAACTTACAACAAGAAGAGAAAAGAGGCACAGGTATACAATGTGAATGACCTAGTTGCCATACAAAGAAGGCAATATAGAGGTGGTCTAAAGTTAAGGCCAAAGTTCTTCGGTCCATACCGAGTAAAGGAAGGAAAGGCAAAGACTGGTACGAGGTGGAAAAATTAGGACACCATGAATACAACCACAGCAGCTGATCACATGAAACCTTGGACTCTCCTGCTTAGAAATGCATGCTGCTCTTCCACACTTGTACCTTTTTTTAAATTTATTTTCAGGTGCTGTATTGATGTATCAGTGTTGCTGATCTGTGTTTTTGAGGGCGAAAGCAGAGTCAGAATCGCCGAGCTGTGGTATCCATTAGTTCAACACAGCCACCAGAGAGCATCACCTATGCGCCTGCAGCAAAAGCGAGGCGAAAGACAATGTCAGATAGATGTTGACTCTATGCGAAGGTGGTAATAAAAGAACTCTTATAAAATAGCAAGCGCGAGTAGGCACCGTGCAGCTATTTTAAATACTTAAAGTCATGCAGAACTGTACTTGTATCTAATAAGTACGAGAACGTGCAACAGTACTGTTATTTTAATTCAGATCTGTAGGTATTCTATTATCAATTATTATTCATTAAATGTTTTGTGGTGTAGAAGTGTTATTTTCTTAAGGATATTATTTTAAACTCCTCCACCCACAGAAATATAGACATCATTAATATCTAAAACAACTTCTTAATGGAATATGTCAACCCTAACTTATTTCTGTTTAAAAAACTAGTATAATTTTAAAACCAGGTAACAGACTCTATAGTTAAAAATATTAATATAAAAATTATACAAAATTATTTTTTTACTCATTTATACAAAAAAATTATTTTTTATCGTACTTTTTCCAAATATATTTGCATCGAGCCGATGCAAGAAAAATGGTTAGTTTATAATATATTGAACACATATTCTTTTTAACATCTCAAAACAAATTCCTGTACTACTACATGAAAATGAATCTATAAACCATCCACTGAAGTTAAGTTTGCATGCATTTTCATCATAAAGAAATGGCACACAAAAAATTATTTTAAAATTAATTTAGTGTTTAAACTAAAAATGATACTTTCTGATTAACTGTATCCCCATGAAGAGTCCCCAAATCATCCATGATTTTGTGAATTTATAGAAAAACATTTGTTTGATCATCTTACAGCTCATACATAATGTTTGATCTGTTTACAAATAAATGATAATAAAATGAGGGTAAAAAATTTGTGAATATTTACATTTTACAGCAGTGGATCTGTTCAGTGAAATGACTATTAAATATAAAGCTTAATGCATGTTTACTCCAACAAGTAAAGCATATTTGTATAAACTGACTAAAGTGACATGTATGCTAAAAAATACGCCAAAAAGACAGCTATTACTTACTATCCTAAAAACTACTATTTTACTTACTATCCTAAATTTTTGCACAACTGTTTACTTTCAGCTACATGTTTATTAAACAAAACACTGTATTAAACAATTCATCTTTTCAAATTTTAGAAATATTACTCACTACTCATATATTAAAATTCAAACAATACTAATAACGATAAACAAATCTATCTCTAGTCATTATCATCCTTTTCTTTCAATTTTCTTTTTTCTTTCCCTTTAAATTACACAAATTTTAAATAGTGATTACAGCTGCTCTTCTTTCACAAGAAATTTCAAAAACATCAGCTACCAGCATGTTAAGGACAAAAATGCACATTAATGTGAATCATTTCATAACAAAATAAAATCAACCAGAATGAGTCAATTCTGGATACAAATGAAACACACAAAGCAAGAACAATTCCAAAAATAAAACTTGTTGCCACTCATTACAAACTAAATATAATTTAAAACTCAGGGATCTGACATCCTCACACCTTAAATCAGTGGAACACAAATAAACGGTATAATAAAACATACAATTTTTTTTTAAAAATTAAAGACTCAATATACATTTTCTATTTGAAATTTCCAGGTTTTTACAAATGAAAGTTTATCTTTTTGAAGTTCAGAGGGTAAAACAAAATTTTATAAGTTCAAATTTAGAGGATATTTAACAGTCCTCTCAGTCCTTGTTTTTAATGCAACAGGTGTTATCTAATTACCAAGAGTTCTGCTGTTATTGGAATTCTGGAATTTTCATGTTTTGTTTCCTTTTTATGATCTTTAAACCAGTATCAGAAAAGTTCTACTGGGAAAAGTTTCTGTACTGGTCAGAGTTCTCTCTTGTTTGTGGATGAACTAGCAATCTTTCCCAAGTAACAATTCAATAACAAGACCTAAAAAGCAATCAGTACATTTTACATTATCACTGACAATAATAGAAGTTGAATTTGTCATCGCTGTTTCTTGTGGTCAATTCTTTGAATCAAGAAAGAGATCCATGCATTCTGACCTGAATCTTTTCCAGATATCCGTAATCAGCTGTTGGCAATATTTAATCCTTTTATTAAGAATATCTACTTGATCGAGGTTGGAAACAAACACCATTCACTGAAAATCTTGCAAAAATATTTTATTCTATTAAGATATGATCACTATATGATGCAGAATTGATTATAAACTCCAAACCATTGTCAGAAACAGATTCTAAACTTGCACCTGTGTCACCTAATTTAGTTTGCTTTTGCACATTTGTTTAAAAATGTGTTCATCTTTTTCTGTTTGCTTCAATGTGTTCTCTATTTGTTTTTTTCTGAATAAGCCTCTGGAATTAGTTCAGCATTAAAACCAAAACTATCCACTTTTCTTGGAATCGCAGTATATTGCTGATAAGTTGGTAATATTTTATTTTTACATAACAAAATTATACATCATATAAAAAACATAACGTGGAACAAGTGCAGAAAATCAGAACAACTGGCAATAGAACATTTAGTTCGTAAGAAGCTGGTTCATACTTAAAATAGTTGTAATAGTTATTTATTATTGGTGTAAGAAATAAGCATTAGTCACATCCTGCAAAGAACAGGATATGCAGGATATAAGTATCATAGACTGGAACAATTACTTCTGAGAAGTATGTGCAGCGAAAACAGAATAAAGAAAATGAAGTTGAAACCTCATTTCTATTCATGAAAGTTGTATTAAGTATTACTTGTGTTACTTAATCTCACATGATCTGAAAAATGCACTTGCTAAAGGTATCAAATATTTTGTTATGAAGGACTAGAAGCAGGTTTTCCTTAAATAATACACAGAAATTAAATGCAAATGGTTGATCTACTCAAAAGATTAGATAGAAGTATGAACCTCTTATATTTAAATATGCTAAATGTTCTGAACTTTTCAATAATTTCATTTAGTTGTTAACTGTTATTTTATTCATACTCATCACTTTTTGGGTGTGGAGGGGATGCTTACTATTTTACTCACATTCATCTTAAAATTATTAAACTGCATTTAAAAAATTATAAAATATTCCAAATTTATACGAAAAATGTATTTATGATAATACCACACATTTACCATCATTTCTTGCTCAAATTTCTTTTCTTGCTGTTCTCTATTAAACTGTGCCTTCAGAGCTAAATCCTGAAACTGTTTTGTTTCTTGCTTTTGCAACATTTTTAATTCCCTCAATTCTTGTTTCCTAAAATAAAATATACATTTAAATCACACAAATGGATGTATTTCTAACAATTTTCCAGTCATGAAATGCCAAAATTAACCAATCAATTTTATTTGTTTATTCATCAATAACTGAAATATCTTTAGTTTCATTCTTGAGGAAAAACTGTGTATATAACCCTCTATTCCCCCCCCTCAGGAAAAGTTTACTTTTACTTTTACAGGGTTCGTACACATTGCTGCACATGGAAATTAAGGATTTTAAGGACAATTAATGAAAAAAATTAAGGACCTATGAGCAAATGGGAACTGAATAAATTCAATTGAAAGTATTATCTATGCCTGAATTTCACTTTTGTAATACCACACTAAAAATAAAATAGATAACTAAGTAGTATGCATTTATTACTAAACTTGAATTAACATATAATTGTTAATGAGTTTGAGATTAAAATAAACTTTTGGCAATTTATCAAGTAGCATAAACTATTTTACACTTATAATAGTTGGTCATATTTGAAAGAAGATAACTGACATTTACGGTTTACTAACAGTTAGCTTTATGGGTGTGTGTATCACTTTGTCACATACTTGGTCAGTCTAGAGGTTTAGTAAATAGCAGGTAGATTTTATATCAAACGACATACGTTAAAATGAGAAATAAGATCATAATCAGCATCATTCATAACAAGAGACTGAATGTTATCACACCGCTGCTGTTTGTTTAGAGAGAGACTTGCCGATTAGAACAAAACTGAAAGGTCTGATGTAGGCACAGTTGACAAGTGTTGAAAATTAGTCAGGCTCTGTTTGTTGCAGTTAGTGTCATAGCTTCGTGTACAGTTCTAGGGGTTGTAACCCAGTTAAGATACTTTTAAGGTTCCAATAAGCCATTAGAGCACCAGAGGTGATAGGTTGTTTTGTATTATTTTAAGTCTCACTAAAGAATAAGTTTTACTTGAATTTCTACATTTTTATATTTTATCTTGTGACCATAGTGAGCATTAATGAAAGGTAATAACTTGTTTTAATATGTAGAGATAATTTTTAATTGTAAACAGTTAGTTATAAAAAATTAAATTAGGTAGTTTGATATCCTTAATCATTATGGATTTACATGACCACTATTAAATTTTATTTTTTAACAATATTTGTTAAAAAAGCCTTATTAAAATCACAATCTAATAAAATTTCACAGTTTAAAATAGATGTAATTTATGACACAGATTCTTAAATGATATTATGATAATTACACATTAAAAGCTACAAAATATTTACATTTTGTAACAACAACACTCAACAAAATATTTATCCGTCATTTTAATTTGAAGCCTTCCCAGACATTTTTGCTCGTTTATATCGATGTCCTTCTCTTTAAGCATTTTTTCTAACAATTAGAGATTTGTTTCAATATGCAAACCAATGCTCTTGCTAGTTCCTGCGTGTTTTATGTCCTAACTTGTCAACCTCTTCACAATGTACCTATGAGGGTTTACTTGATCTGGTAAAAGTTAAATAGTCCAAAACTCCCGACAGATGAGAAACATATTATCGTTATGTCTGAAATTAACTACAATATCAGACAAAGGTTTAAATAAGCCTCTTATTTAAAAAGGACTTGTAACATAAAGGTATGTTTTGATGATAACAAAATCAATTACAGCTCACGGTGACATAATTAAACAAGAACAGTCGAATTCAAACTAATAATGTGGACTAGTGGTTAAAGATTATACAATTTAATTTTAATTTAATCTGGCTCAATAACTCTATCATATGACGAAATAGAAATGGGAAATTATAGTTAAGGCTGAAATCATAAAAAAAATGGGTAATTTACATAATAATAACTGCACATATCTTTGAAGAATAATTTTCTTTATGTATTCAGTTTCTTTGTTCAACACATTTCCTTTTCCTTTTAGAATTTTTGGATTTACCGTATTTGACGGCATATAAGACGCAACCTTATTTAGAAGGCCACACATATGTAGATGTAGAAAAAGTTATGTGTGTCTAGATCTTTATCTGGGCTAAAAATAGCATTCAGTATTGAAAGTTAACCTGTGTCCTTACCAAATAAGACACAGGTAACTTTTTTGAGACCAAATTTAGGAAAAAAAAGTGCATCTTATATGCCGTCAAATATGGTAATTAAGGATTTCTGTTATTCTAAAAAACACTAAATGCATTTAGAATGTACAGAAAAAGCAGCTAATTTTATTTCTTTACTAATATGAGCATTCAGAAGAAATATGAAATACAGTACAAAGTCCGTAGTCTGGACTCGTCGGAACTTCGGCGATTCCGGATTAGGGGTTCTTCCAGATTATAGATCATCAATTTAAATCTGGTAAGATGTCATGCAAAAATTATACTATTAAAAATATGAAACCTCAATTTAATAGAAAGAAGTTATGATCTAAAGGGTATCAAATAAATTAAAAAAGAAACACTTAATATTTGTTTCTTTTATTAAACATTTTGTTGGAAAATATAACTTATTGTAAACCTTTTACTGCATCATCTCTCCTCCTTGAAATGTTTATTTAGTTTAGTTCTTATTTTAATGTAATATAGTAGTTACTTCTACTTCTTTTTCTTACTGCCACTGTTTGCGTTGAGAACGGACTGTTTCAACCTAATTGAGATGCAAAAACGAAACGTGATGTTACGTCATCTGGAAAGCCGATTCGTGCCGATAGCTGATTGGTTGCCGTGAGATGACGTCATGCCTACTTCTGCTATAAGTATCTCGCGTCGCTCTGGCTCAAACCCCTTCAGAAGGATGCGTGCAGTCCGGTGAATAAAGTTCCTTGGTTCCTGTTCACAAGATGACTGTTCCTGAATAAAGTTCCTTGGTTCCTGTATACAAGATGGTTGTTCCAGAATAAGTTCCTTGGTTCATATCCACAAGATGATTGTTCCAGAATAAGTTCCTTGGTTCCAGAGGCTACCATGTGAGTGACTGCCGTGGGCAGCATCCATGTTCTTCAATGAAGGTGGCATTTAAAATACGTGAGCGGCGATTCCTTGTGTTCAACTCATGCAAACGGAGTTAGGCCGGTTTTGAGTGCTTTCAAGAACTTCATTTAAATTTCAGGTGTTTTCTCAACCATTGATCATGGACTTTTGAATGTGTAGCCAACTTCATTTTTAGGCCGCATAATTAATGTTTAGGACATTTTTGTTTGTATTGAATGCCAGTGTTTTTGGAGACCAGGTAAAAATATTATTTGATGAATGATGGTTATATTATATTTTTCCTAAGACTCTGATATTGTTTAAATTTATTTTCTGTGTTTTTATTCTTTATTATATTGTTAATAAATTGGTTAAGTTTGAAACTTTTTATTGTCTTCAATGTCTGCACAACATATTATCTCAGGGAGCTTTTATTGCTACTATTGCTAAATGTTTTAAAACTAACTTTACTAAACTTTAATGCTAATTTTATAAACTTTAAACTTTGCTTTAGCATCACATTTTCATTTCGCAGGCATAAAGGTTGCACTTCTTTACTCATTGCGTAAAGTTGTGGCTTTGAGTCCGATTATAGATCATTCAGAAGGATGTCCGGATTATGGACTTTGTACTTATATATAGTAAAGGCCAGTTTCCAGAGCTGATGTAGCAGAATTTCTAGAATTTAGCGACACACCGAACAACAAGATTTAGAAATGGCAAAATTTTTAGAATTTAGGATCCATAGATATTGCATCAGGTGGGAAAATGCCTAGTGCCAGCGATGTGTATGATGCATTAAGAATATTAGATGAATCTTTTAAATTGTAAGTTTTCAATTTCTTTATTAATAAAAAAATCCCTTTCTATAATGCCTGCCCATGTGATAAGATTTGAAGCCTTTTTAATATTTTCCATGCTTGTGTCTAGTGAAAAGTAGAGAAAATAACGGGAAGATAAACATGTTCAGATTTCAAATATTATGTTATCATTGTTCTTCCAGACATTTTCCAAAAAGTGAGAAATTCATTGCAAACTTTCTGTAAAATACATCCATTATGTGTTGAAACCATGGAGACACTTT